CATCCCACAGCCAGGCTTCTGTTAAATACGGCAGATCCAGAAATCAGCAGTGTACTTGTAACTCACTAATCTTTCTTGCATTCCTTCATGAGAATGAAAACATCACCAAAGCAGACCTCAACCTTGTTTTGGATAAAGGTAACACAATGTATAAAGAGACCAGAAAAAGGGTCGTGGATCACATCTATCTGACTACCGATGAGCTCCCTGATGAAGTTCCTGCACACAGGTTGACACATTATGTGGACATGACACAACTTTCTAGGTACGGCACATTAGGAGAACCTTTACCTGGAACTGTCGATAGCTTTCTGGACCTAGAGTCAGGACTGAGCTGCTTGTTGTCAGATGTTAAGTACGCTTTGCTGTTGATGAGACTGTTATGTATTGCAGTATTCAGAACCAGGTCAGGCAGATATGGTTTCTTTGACCCACACTCCAGAACAGCCCGAGGTTTGCCCCCTTCACGTACTCCTGGTACCGCTGTCATGGTGACATTCACACGTCTCAGTGATATGATTGACAGGCTCAAGAAGTCCCACAGAATGATGGGTACATAGTCCTCCTGTAACTATGAGTTAAAGCCTGTGGAGTTTTACAATGTGAACACAGTCAACCTGAATGATGCTATCCCAAACACAGACTGCAGACCTACAGCTGTCACCGAGGATGAACCTACTCTGTTGGATGAAGCTGTTGATGAATCAAACTCACCGACTCTAAAGACAAACAGCCACTGATCATCCTGAGAATGTTTTACCTGAAATGTCTCCTCACACCACAGCTGTGAAACAACCAGCGGTCCTCATCCCGTCATTCCAACCACATGATGCTCCTCACAGTGAATCAGAATTGACTGCTGAAGTGATAAACCCTGTTCTCAGTGATCTCTCTGATACCATAATGACAGGAGTGTCCAGTGACGTTACTTTCACATCATCTGTAAGACAACAAGAGGTCGTCTTCCCTGATACCCAAAATGAACCAGAACCCTCAAGTGAATTCAGATTCATTCCATCACATGATGCTTCTCTCAGTGAATCAAACATTTCTTCCTCAATAATAAATACTGTTGCCAGTGATCTCTCTGATACTGTTTCGCAGGAAACCATCTGTAGATTGTCAAAGTTTAGTAAACACGAAAGGAGTAAAATGAAGAGAAGACTATTGCTCTAAGGAAAAACTCCACAAAGAAAAGAGAATCAAAAAACCAAAGAAAGGGAAAAGTATGCTTCAAATATAGCATATAAAGCAAAGAAAAAAATATCACGCAAGCTGGAATTATCGAAACAATCCTGAATTTAGACAAAAGAAAATAAATGATACAAGAGACAATGTTGACTAACAGCAAAAACGGAAACAGTACATTTCCTCTCAATACAAAGACGATCCTGATTTTAGACAGAAACAAAAAAAGCTATTTATGGCCCGGTACCAAGACAATACTGATTTTAGACTAAAACAAAAACCAGTGCTTCACTGCTCGATATAAAGAAAGCGTAGAGTTTAGACAGAAGAAGAGATCTCAAATCACTCAGCGTTATGCTCATGATGAAGCATTCAGGGTAAGACACAGACAACTAATGAAAAAAATAATGCAAGACAGATATCAAAACAATCCTACATATAGGAGTATGCATAACGTGAGATGTGCCATGAAAATAAAAAGAAAATACAGATGGATAAATAGACAAACAGAAGAAAGTGACAACAGTTTGATCAAAGAGGCTATATCTATTTTCAGGTCACAAATAAAGGCTGGTCCCACTTATGTGTGCACCGTCTGTCATAAAGCATCATTTCCAAACCAAGTGAGACCCTGTAAAAGGTTAAACTATGTCAAAAATCCAGACATGGTTGCAGCATGCCTCACAGCAAAGTACGTCCATGTTTGTGATGATGAGTGCAGAAATGAACAACAGTGCAAAGTGCCTGATGAGAGAAGGGAAGAGTGGATTTGTCACACCTGCCACACACATCTTAAAGATGGAGCCATGCCAACACTCGTTGTAGCTAACAACTTGGAGCTCGCTGACATTCCACCTGAACTGTGTGATCTCAACATATTGGAGAGACATCTCATAGCTAAGTGCATAGCCTTTGCAAAAATGATTCCTCTTCCCAAAGGTAGACAGAGAGCGAAACATGGTAACGTGGTTTGTGTCCCGTCGGAGGTGCAGGAAACAGTGGAAGCGTTACCCAGACTGAGAAGTGAGTCCCAGGTCATGAGAGTGAAACTGAAGAGACGATTGTGTTACAAAGGTCATCAGCTGTTCCAGTCACCTGGTCTAAACTAGTGCAGGCGCTGCATAAACTCAAACACATTCACCCACAATACCAGGACATAACTATCAGAGATGAGGCTGAGCTATGTGACCCAACACTTCCTGATGAAGATGATGAGGATGAGGATGCAACAATGGCTGAGAATGATTATGATGACACTGATTTAATGGACATTGACATGTGTGAGAAAAGTGCACTGTGTGAGGCAGAAACTGAGAATGAAGGTGAGCAGGATATTGACATGTTGTCTTGTGATGGTGAACAACCAGATGAGCAGAGAGATGATGCAGAACAGGAAGGTGACATGCCTAACGGTGGTTTTGCTCTAGTCATGTCTTCAGCCATGTGATGTTTCAGAGGAGATTTTATGTTTCAGTGAAGGAATCGACTCTGTTGCCCCTGCAGAAAGAAACAGTCCTGTTGGCTTTTTCAGAACACCTAAACTTGAGGCGATGGCTTTCCCGGTACAATTCCCTACAGGTCAAAACACACTGGACTGAGACGTATTAAACTGACACCGAGCAGGTATTTCAAAGCAAGGCTTTTCTGGACTGATGATCGTTTTGCCAGAAACACAAATTATTTGTTCTTTGCACAGTTTGTGATTGAAATACATTTGGCTACCTCCAGCATGACAATACAGTTGAGGAAAGGGAAGCCTCTGACTAGAGATGGATGAAGAATAACTTCTGGTATGCTGCAAAATAAACGAGAGGTCGAGAGACTGGTGAGGAATAAAGATGCAGTCAGATTCATGCAGCCACTGAGAGGAACACCAGCTTATTGGGAGAAAACTACAAGAGATCTTTTTGCCATGATCAGACAGTTGGGAACCCCCACATTCTTTTGTACGTTTTCTGCAGCTGAGATGCATTGGCCTGAAGTGATTGAGGCAATAAAAAGACAGCAAGGTGAAGAAGTAAATGTTGAAGGGCTCGACTGGTCAGCAAAGTGCGACATACTGAGAAGCTATCCAGTGACAACAATGCGCATGTTTGATAAGCGTGTTGAGGCGTTATTCAGAGATTTGCTCTTATCTCCTGCACAGCCTCTCGGCAAAGTCGTTGACTATTTTTACCGAGTTGAGTTTCAGCACAGAGGAAGCCCACACATACACTGTCTCATATGGGTAGAAGGTGCACCTGTGTTTGAGAAGGATGATGATCAGATTGTGTCGGATTTTGTGTCCAAATACATTACAGCTGAGCTGCCTGACCCACATTTACAACCTGAACTGTACAAGAAGGTCACAGAAGTGCAAATACACAGCAAAAAACACTCAAGGACATGTTTCAGAAGTCCCAGCTCGGGTTGCAGATTTGGATTTCCCAAACCACCTGCCAGACACACAATCATAACGAGACCTGGTGAGAACGTTGATCCACTGCAAGTGGAAATGGCAAAGTCAAAGCTCCAACCACTGAACTTGTTGCTGAATGAACCTGAAACTGCCTCACTCAGTTTGCAGCAGCTCCTAGCTCGATGCGACTTAACACTCCATGAGTATGAACGATGCCTCAATATGATCAACAAATCCAGTACGGTGATACTGAAATGTGAGCCAAAAGACAGCTGGGTAAATTGATATAATCCACATCTACTTGAAGCCTGGGATGCCAATATTGATGTAAGTTATATTCTCAATGCATATTCATGCATCATGTATCTCACCAGCTACATAACCAAAAAGGAATCTGGACTTTCTGAGTACCTCAAAACAGTCATTGAGAACTCCACCAGAGACAACGTCAATGAATGTGATGAAATGAGGGAAATCATGCAAGCTTACTCTAAAAAGACAGAGGTCAGTGCTCAGGAGTGTGTGACTCGTGCCTGTGGTATTAAAATGAAGAAGTGTTCACGTGGTGTCATATTCATACCGACGGATGACAACGCACTGAAAATGAGTCGCCCCATGTGTTACCGAGAGAACACAACATCAGAAAGTGAAAATGTGTGGATGACATCTTTGACTGACAAATACAAAGCCAGACCTGAAACACCAGAGGAGATGTGTTTGGCTGATTTTGCAGCTACTTGCAGAATTGTCTATCGACAGCAGAAAAAAGGTAAAGATGTGTTGCCACTCCTCAATGAGATGGGAATAATTTAGGAATTATACATATCAGACACATAACAGGCGCCTTTAACCGGCGCCTCTTATTCAGCCATTACGACACTTGTTCGGCGGTGCAGGAAACACACCGCCCAATGCATTGCAAATCACATCAGGTGATTCAGTTCAGCCAATCAGATATGGGTATTCTGACAAGTTTCGAGCGAGGTTTACACACACCGTGACACACTGGGCTGAGAGGAGGAAATAGAAACAAGAGCAGGGAAATTGCGCTGATCAGAGAAGTTATCTCACATGACGTTCTCCAAAACGAGAAACGTGTTCAGAGAGAATATAATTTATAAGCAAGAATGAACAGACTCTTATATGTTAACTATTCCCGCTAGCTTCACCGACATGCTTTGCCGGGTGTTTGCTAGCAGGTCTCTTAAACCCGACAGGCAACTGACTTCCGAGCTGCACCGTCCTGTAAATAAGTAACGCAGGATTAATAATGAGGTCATCAAGCACATTGTTGAAAATGTGTTTTTGAATTACTATAAAATGGTTTCACTAGGCAGCAGTACTCGGTGATGCTCGGTGATGCACTGAACCCGCATGTCTTGTCCTCTCCCTCGCCTTCTAGCTGCTATTCAGCATGAATCTGGCAGAGATATGTGACAACGCCGAGAAGGGTCGTGAGTACGCTCTGCAGGGGAACTATGACTCCTCCATTGTGTATTACCAAGGCGTCATTCAGCAGATCCACAAGCACTGCCAGTCGCTCAGAGACCCTGCACTCAAAGTCAAATGGCAACAGGTGAGTTCACCAACGCCACCCTTACACCAGTTATTACACTTTTTGTTTATTCTTTATTGAATGCTGGACATTAGAGCTTCACTCTAAACCCTGTGTTGTTTTACAGCTGCTGTATTGTTCAGTAGGGTGTTCTGTGGTGCAGTGCTGATACAACACTTTGCTTTGTGACCAGGTCAGGCAGGAACTAACTGAGGAGTGTGAGCAGGTGAAAGGCATCATGGGAACGCTCGAGAGATTTAAGTTGGAGAAGCCGGCTGACGTTCTCGCCCCTCAATGGGAGGAGAGGCCCGAGGATCCAGCAGTGTGTCCCCCTCCCACCCCTGCAGAGCGTGTGTGTGTGCGTGCGTGCGTGTGTAAGTTACATCTTTGACCCAAAGCCTTTGTGGGCTTCGGGCAGGGATCACCTCTACAAAATAGAATTGCTTGGATCTTTTTTTCTACTTCTTCTACATCAGTTGAGACTCATGGTCATGTTTTTAATGTGTCTGATAGCAAAAACAAAATATTTCTTTAAAATCACATAGCAGCATTTATTTAGCGTCACACTGTTCTTGAAGAGAAGAAGATTTGAAGTAAATGCCCAATGTGATTTGTATATGTATATTATTTTATAAATACACTAAAGCTAACTGAAATATTAAGACATTACTATTTTATTGTCACATACACGTGAAACCCTTTCATTCAGGATATCAATAAATCTCCAAGAAGCACATGTACGACCACTAATTCTACATAATAATATGCACTGAAAGCTGAAAAAGTAGCTCCACGCTGCTGTCTGTTTGCTGCTTCTTATTTTATTCTATGTGGGATTAAAGAACTGGGAACAAGACGTCAGTGTGTTGGTACTTTGGTTGCTTTATTTCAGCCACCTGCTCAGGCGCTGATCCAGGGGACTTCTTTACCTTCTGGCAGAACTGACTGTTGTTGACGCTACCCAGAGAGTCTGTAGAACAAAACTCCTTCATAAGGAAGCACTTTGAACGACAAAGAGACTTATTTTGCATAATCTGTTTCATCTCCACCGGCACAATGTGACTAGCAGAGGAAGTTTGGTGGCACGGGATATGACAGCGACCTGGTGGACTCACTGGAGTGAGATATTGTGTCCTGCAACCCCAACGTGCACTGGTGTGGTAGCATTCACTGTTTCTTTCACACTTCTTTTCACGCTCTGCTGTCAGCGAAGTGTGTTTTTGTTTGTTTCTTTGCACTGCTGACTGAGTTCTCTGGATGATCTGTAGGGAGGACATTGCTGACCTGGAAGACGCTAAGAAGCTGCTGAGGGAAGCGGTGGTGTTGCCCATGTGGATGCCGACTTCTTCAAGGGCATTCGTCGCCCCTGGAAGGTACAAACACACACACACACACACACACACACGTTTTCTACAGTGAGCAGTTCACATTGTTCTGTGCTCAAAGATGAAATACATTTAGAATCTGCTCAGCTAATGACCTTTTCACATGCAGCCGTATTGGCTTACAGGAAAATATTGCCACACGCCTACGTAACTCTACGTAATAACTAACTTCAAATGCTGCAACAAAGTTTTAGTATAACTCCTGCACTGCGCTCAATCTAAGCTACAGTCGACTCTGGTGCAACAGCCCGCTGTTCTCTTGCCCAGGTAATCACACACCCTTAATGCTTACATGTGTTTGCATCACTAACGTATTTCATTAAAGGGCCCGCTCAGTCACGCTGCCTCTCAGTAGCGACATGACTGTGAGTTCTCTTCTGTCCCGGGCTCTGTTGAGCTTCATCATGTGAGGCCTCTTCCCCCTCAGGCCCCGCCATGTGAGGCTCAATACTTCAACGTTTCGTTATTTTATACAGCAGAACACGGCCTTTCACTTGTCTGATGTATGCATGTATAACTGAACTCTTTACTTAGTTAGCTGGAGCCTTTCCTCAAATAACTGAAAGTGCAGTAAAATGAAGGATTAATACTTTATTATAGGAAAAAGGATGAAGGTAAAGTAGCTGTGGATTCTGAGGCAGCAGAGAGCACAATTACATATCGCGTTATGGACCGTCACTGGTGCTTTTTTTATGTAATCTCCACAGCAACAGACATAAACCAGATGCATAAATGTCAGACATCAGAGTGGCAGTGGCAGTCCTGGTGTTTACAGAAGAGATTTGCATCAGTGTCTGTTTATGTGTGTTTATTACGCGTGTCACATTTTGTTTCAGGGCGTGTTAATGGTCGGCCCTCCCGGGATGGGGAAGACCATGTTAGCTAAAGCTGTGGCCACAGAATGTGGGACTACTTTCTTCAACGTGTCCTCCTCCACCCTCACTTCCAAATACAGGGGCGAGGCAGAGAAACTTGTTCGCCTGCTGTTCGAAATGGTAACTTCCCGTGCATGTATTTGGCCTCAATATCAGACTGAAGATCAAAATGTTGTGTTATATTGCAGAGAACGGGTCTCCTGAACTATTGTCCTTTCTCAGGCCCGCTTTTATGCACCGACAATCATCTTCATAGACGGGGTAGACTCCATCTGTGGCAGGAGAGGAACGTCTGATGAACATGAGGCCAGCCGCAGGGTCAAGTCCGAGCTTCTGGTTCAGATGGATGGTGAGTGGAACAGAGAAGGTGAAGCTATGAAAAGGTTTCTGATGTGGTTGTCTCTTGAGTTCATTCAAGAAAAATAAATGAGCTGTTCTCTTTTGGCATTTGGCACATTTTGATATCAAAACTGAATGAGTTCAACATAAAACAGAGCTGTGTAAAGTGCCGTATTAAACCAAAACACATTCACTGTCACACGAATGGTAACGTGCGTTTCCTTGTGTGTGCTTTGGTGACCAGGCGTGGGGGGGGGCTCTGGACAACGATGACCCCTCTAAGATGGTGATGGTCCTCGCCGCCACCATCTTCCCCTGGGACATCGACAAGGTGTTACGACGGCGTCTAGAGAAGAGGATCTACATCCCCCTGCCCACAGGTGACCTCACCACCCACAGACTGTCTACCACTGTTGTAGGAGATCAGTTTCGAGTCTTGAGACCACGTTTTGAAGGTCTCGTCTCGTTTGTTTATAGACTGGTCTAGACCACAACTCGTGGGATATTACTCCATTGTCTGAAGTATTTGTTGTGTGTGTTAGGATGTCAAACTTCCTGCTTCAAATGTAACCAATAACTTGCAACAATAACTCATTTTCTTACTGTTGACGACGGTCACGCATCCCCGCCCCCCTTCACACCCACTCCCAGAGAGTGAACGCGGGAGACAGGAGAAGAAGGCGTAGCTGTCTGGGATGAAATGTCAATAAAATTGTCTCCCTAAAAAAAACAGAGCTGGGACTCGCTGGTCTCAGTCTTGACTTGGTCTCGGTTTAGTTGGTCCTGATTACATCACTGCTCACTGCACAACAAACTAGAGCGATGGTCCCCGTAGTGGTCTAACCGAGACTGGACACAATAAATCCTAATATCTGATGAATGCTCTTTTGTGTGCGTGTTTGTGCGTGTGTGTGTGTGTGTGTGTGTGTGTAGCTGTGGGTCGTGTCGTGCTTCTAAAGATCAACCTAAGAGAGGTGGATGTAGCTGCTGACGTGGACCTGGACCTCATCGCTGAGAAGATTGAGGGCTACTCTGGAGCAGACATCACCAACGTCTGCAGGTGCGTGTGATATTGTGTGCACGTATGCAAAATTATACAACAATCCAGGAATTGCTAATGAGTTCATCCTTCATCTCCTTCACTTTCTGTTAAAATAACATTCTTAGAGACAGACACGGGGCAGAGAAATAGAGCGGCAGAGACCTGAAGAGTCTCCAGTTAACTCTCTGAGGAGGATTTCACACCTGTAGTCCGGTTCATTTGGTCTGGACCAAAGGGAAACACTAAACACTGTTGCATTTTAGTTCTGCTTCGGTTCCTGTTCACACTGACGTTTTACGAATGAACCAAGACAAGTTCACATGAAGTTGGGTGATTGGACAGTTCTGGTGATCGTCTTCCTGCATCATCAGGACTCTCAAGGGGAAATGACAGAAGTTGATGCAGCACTTTAATGCTTCTGATGAGGGTATTTATATTTAGAGTCACAAAGACCTCACGTAGAAACAACTGATGATTAGCAGTATTGGTGTTATTAGACTGCAAATCGATCCAATGATGATGATGAATAATGACCAACAGGTAGAGACAACACTGTTCAAAAGCCCCTTCACATGCTCACAGATGACTGGTGTGAACGTCAGGGAGCGCACGGACACCAGGCGTCTGTACAGTAATGACTCAGGGCTGATGGCTGTGGGATCGCTGTCAAACACTTGGACTTAATGGACAATAGACTTAATGAACTGACAAAGTACACAGAGTCGGATATAAGCACGGGGAAAATACCAGTGCCGACATGCACACCTGTTGATTTGCATAAAAAGGTTATAGACATGGCCTGATACAGATCAATTAAAAGATCACTTCCTGAACAGATTTCACCATCAGCAGATGGATTTATTTTACTGACCCACCTCTTCAGGAGGACCCGAGTTAGTTTTAAAGAACCAAACCGTGCAGGTGTGAATGCACCCTACAAACAAAAGTGCGAGTTTGTTTTTTTCCAACTGGATTATTACTTGTAAATAAAACTGCTCTGCTAAACCCTGTAGAGACGATCCTCCAGGTGATGTTGTCATATATAAGCAGTGATGAGGGGGGCTTTTCTCTCCTGTGTTGACTGGGAGACATTAAACGTCAGCTTTGAATGCACGGAAATGGGATTTTGTAAATCATATACTGAAATACTACAGCCTAGAATATAGATGCAACGTCATGAGCTGAAGTGTGACTATAGAGGTTAAACAGACTGTATTAAAACAGTGTGTGCACAACAAGCCATTCTGATTTTGACATTAAAAGAGCAGCCATAGAGTGTGTGTTGTGTGTGCGTGAGAGATTGTCTATCACTAACCAGCTCTATGTATCTGCATAGATTTATTCATCACACTCTTAAATCCATCCCTAAACGACACAAGCTCAGATACACATTCAAAAGCAGTGATAGTAGCTGGTGACCCTCAACGAGATGAAAACAGATATACCAACGGTTATAATAAAGTATGCACTGATTATATTTCTGAACGTTATTTCTAATAGTTGACTTCTCTTCACCACCCTGTCCTTGCTAGTCCTTTCTACTGCTCTGCTTGGAATGACAAGTATGCGATGTTGTTCAACTTTGTCTCTGCTCATCTGTGGCTCGCTTTGTTTCGTTGACAGTGTGTGTGTGTGTGTGTGTGTGTGTGCGTGTGTGTGTGTGTGCATTTCAGCCAGCTGTTGCTTAGTGATCACAGCAGAGACTCCATCCATTTTGACGAGAGTAAAACTCTTTAACTAGGAAATCACAAAGTGTGTTTTAGGGAGCGTATTTAAACAAAACAGAGGTGTTATGTATATGCGTGTTTGAACACCGCTAACCGTCCTCTGCTCCTGTCTTTACTTCAGGGATGCGTCTATGATGGCGATGCGTCGTCGAATCCAAGGCCTGAGCCCCGAGGAGATCCGAGCTCTGTCCAACGACGAGCTGCAGATGCCCGTGACCATGGAGGACTTCGCCCTCGCGCTCACAAAGATCTCCAAGTCCGTCTCCGCCGCCGACCTGGAAAAGTACGAATCCTGGATGGCTGAGTTTGGGTCAGTGTAGAGAACGGTTCCGCTCAGACCCCAGAGCAGGGGTCGGCAACCCGCGGCTCGGCACATTAAAACATTAAAATAAATAACTTTTTTTTTTTTTGCACAGTGGACAATCTTTCAAAGGGAACACCTCCTATCTTGGAGTTTGAGGTGATACTGTGTCACGGAAAATAAAAAACGTTTTAATATTTAGTCAACTAAAATGTGCGTCACATCCTATTAGCTACGTCGCCGTCAATCGCCTTCCCCTGCAGGTGGCTCGTCGTGATTGCAGACTCCCGCCCTCGGTAAGGTTATCAATGGATAAATCCAAAAAAAGAAAACTCCTGGAAGAAAATAGAGAATTTAATTCTGCGTGGACGTATTTATTTGCGTTCACTGCCAACAACGCTGGCTTACCTGTATGCTTAATATGTGGCGAGAAATTAGCAAACAACAAAAAATGTAATGTTGAAAGACACTTTCAGACCAAACCCACAGCATTTGCTGAAAAATATCAAGCTGGAGATGCGCGAAAAAGAGCGATTTCTGAACTGCCGCAGAAAACTGAGCAAAGTAAATATACTTTCGCAAAGTGGATCAAGTCTCCAAACTCAACTACTGCTGCTAGTTTTGTGGCAGCTCATGAGATAGTAAGGCGTGGAAAGCCGTTCACAGATGGAGAATACATGAAAGAATCCTTCATTAAAGTATCTGAGCATCTATTCTCGGACTTCAAAAACAAAGGGGAAATTGTTCAAAAAATCAGAGATATGCCTCTCTCTGCAAAGACCGTTAAAATGGCAACAAACATCACCAGTCAGCAAATTGAGGACATCAATTCAGCTGCAGCATTCTCAATCGCCTGTGATGAGTCAAGAGATGTAAACGACATTGAGCAGACAGCACTGTTATGGAGATATACGAACTCTGATGGGCGGCAGGAAGAAATCATTGAATTAATACCGCTAAAAGGGCAAACACGAGGGGAGGACATTTGTGAGGCTGTTGTGAATTGTTTAAAAGCTAAAGAAATAAACACGACCCGCTTGGTGTCAGTGGCTACTGATGGTGCACCCAGTATGAGAGGAGCACAGAAGGGATTTGTGACTTTACTTCAGAAGTCACTGGATCGAAAGCTGCTGTCGTTTCACTGCATCTTACACCAAGAAGCACTGTGCGCTCAAACATTTCCCCCGGAATGTATGGAGGTGATGAATCTTGTTATTCAGATGGTGAACAAAATAATGGCAAAGGGGTTAAACCACCGACAGTTCTGTTCGTTGTTGGAAGAGGTGGACAGCGCATATTCAGATCTCCTGCTGCACAACAAAGTCCGGTGGCTGTCCAGGGGAGAGGTGCTAAAACGGTTTGCTGCTTGCCTGGAACATGTGAAAACCTTCCTGGAAAGCAAAGACCTCACCTATCCTGAGCTGGGAGATCCAGATTGGCTTGAAAAGTTGCACCTCATGGTAGATATGACAAGTCACTTAAACACGCTGAACAAACATCTCCAGGGAAAGGGAGGCACGGCTCTGCAGATGCTGGAGGATGTGTTGGCGTTTGAGCGCAAGATGACAGTGTTTGCCAGAGATGTACAGAGAGGCACGCTCTCTCACTTCCCCTCCCTGAGAGAGTTCAGAGAAAGAAATACTCACATAAATTGTGAGTATTTACAGGATGCAATTATCGAAATGCAAACTGCATTTGGGAAAAGATTCAGCGAGTTCAAGGAGGAAAAAAGCACATTATCCTTCCCCGTCACACCCCTGGACATCGACCCACACCAGCTGATCATGTCTGCATTCCCGGGAGTAAGCCAACCTGATCTGGAAATCGAACTCGCGGACATAGCTGATAAAGACTTATGGGTGTCCAAGTTCAAAAGCCTGACAGCTGATCTTGAAGATGTCGCCCGTCAGAAGGCCGTCCTCGCTAGAGAGCACAAATGGAGCGATATTAAAAACCTCCCCAAACCCGACAAACTTGTGTTTGAAACATGGAATGCCATTCCCGACACTTACATGAACATGAAGACTTATGCATTTGGAGTCCTGTCCATCTTTGGATCAACATACTTATGCGAGCAGATTTTCTCAAGCATGAACTACATCAAATCTAAATATCGCTCCCGCCTCACAGATGACAGCCTGCAGTCCTGTTTGAAGCTCAAAGTCACATCTTACAGCCCTGACATAGAGAAACTCTGCAGCGATGTTCAGAACAAAAGTCACATTAAACAGGTGAGAACACTATCATTTCATAGGCTATTATCTTGGAGAAAAATATTTATTTTAGATCCTGAACTGATGTAGTTGTGTTTTTATGTTCAGGCGCGACGGTTGATGGCTGTACGTGGCTGAGGAAAAAAAGAAGAAGAGGATGACATCGCACTGAAATGGACTTTAGTCTTACTTAAATACAAACTGCCTATTTTTTATCTTTACTCATTTTAAAATATTAGGCTGCAGCTATATGTTATATTTATTTCAAAGTAGGCTACTTTTTATTTCATGTTTTTTTCCACAAACATGGGGAGAGGACCCAAATAGACTTCAATTGTTCTGTGTTTGATTCACTTCTGCAGCTATATGTTATATTTATTTCAAAGTTATTTCCCACAACTATGGGGAGGACTCGAGGCCTGCATAGTTCTGTGTTTAGTTCTGTGACCTCAATGTAGGCCTACACATGCCAGTGTATTTTTTTCTCCTCTTCATAAAAGTTAAAATAGCAATAAAATGTCAATAATTGTCTTTATTCTTGTTCTATTATTTCATAAATACAACAAACTATAGTTTTTGTATATATAATAGAACTATATATAAAACGTATATAAGCTGTGATATCGAATAGCTTTTGCGGCTCCAGACAAATTTTATTTGGTGGAAAATAGAGCAAAATGGCTCTTTGGACAGTAAAGGTTGCTGACCCCTGCCCCAGAGGGACCAGAATATCAGAAGCAGGTCTTTGAAAATGATGAAAGTCTCGAAGGCTCTGGGAGTCACGGAGCGGAGTGAACTCAAGAGTGTGAACCTGGCAGCGCATCAGGGATCAAGATTATACATCAGAAGACTGGTGCCTTTGAGAGAGAGAGCGTGATGAGAACTTTGAGTGGCTGCACTCCTGCCCTTTCAAACCCCCTACCTTCCATTGTTGCTTCCACACAATTGTCCGTGTATAGACTATCAATCAACCCAAGGAAGAAAAGGGGAAGTTTTAATCTAAAAAGTAGCCTAATACCCACACAGGGTACGTTTTACTTACATGTCAGGCCTCGTGCAGGAACATTTGCGTATTCCTATCCTCAACACAAGCTTTGCTTGCCTGTTTCAGTTCGATGAACGCCACCTGTTTACAAGTAGGTGAGCGTTGGTGAGATCTGATCATTTGGATATTCAACAACCCTAAAATTGTGATTCAGAGGACCGTTTTTTTTCTCCATTTGTGGGCGAGTTTCATTCAAATGTAAAGAGAGTAAAAAGAATAATTTCACAGCAAGTCTCACACCCTGCTGTCAGAAATCAGCAGTCAAAGTATTTGTATGAGGAGACCTGAAATAATTGGAAAATCTTACTACAACCAAAACATCAGAGGACCTTCAACAGGAAATCATGCCGCATAAAAAACCCTGAAGCAGATGCTGACGGGAGAACATCTTCCTCACAAACACTCAATTGTAAATGCTAAGTTATCCAGTAAAACCTGCAGAAGCTGTAGTGGATCCTCAGTAAAGTTGAAGCCATGCTGACGTGATCATCATTGTGATGGAGGCGTCATGGTGTACTGTTGTTTCTTGCACGAGGCCCTTTGTCTTAACGAGCTGTATGTTTGAGCACTTTGAATTCCTTCAATGTACCTACTACTAACTGAACACACTTGAAGAACCACCATGTTTTGTGTTATAGTGTCTGGTTTTGCGTTTTTCTTTTTCTTGCTTTTAATATTTGTTTTTTTGATTTTAGTTGTCTTAAAACAAACAAATGTAGCCATTCTAAAATAACATGGCCGCTGGACCCGTGGAAAGTTTATTAAAGGATACAGTGAAACCTCGCCCACTCCAAATGAAATGATGAGTTACTCGGGTTCTTATTGGATCTCTGAATTACTCCAAGTCTTAAAAGCGCTACGGATGACATCATTGCCGCTACATCTCCACGACAACCGAGCAGACTCCGTGAAGCCTATGTGACCGGGGTTAACAGCTCAGTTGGTTTTATCTGGTCAAACTATTGAAATATTATTTTTGGTAAACCAGTGACGTGGGTTACGAGACATTAAAAATACTTGAAACTCGCAAAATAGTTTATTCTTATGATGTATGATCAGTTTTCTGGCTATAGAGTAATTGAGGGACTCGATGTGTTGATTTGTCTGTGTATCTTTGGTATAAATATAAACCTGTACACTGTGCACCCTTCACTTTTCTTCAGGGATGTCAGACTGTGAGATGCACTCCGTCATGCTTCCTTTATTGTTCTGCGTTTCTTCTGTAGCACTCTTCACCCTCTTACTACTTTTCAAATGGTACGACAAATGCTGTTAAGCATTCCAACTGTTGTTATCCTGTTTCTTTAATTGTTGGAATGTTGTTAGGCATTCCAACAATTAATTAATCTCCACGAAAAGGCTGGAGGCACACAGCTGTTTATGATTGAGCTCATTAGTGATGTTGATAAACACAGACTCACAGACACAAATGATTTAGAGATATACGTGATGCAGCTCAGCCAATCAAATATGGGTATTCTGACAAGCTTCCTGATTTGAGTGACATTAACACACACCGCGACACAAGACGGAGAGACGAGGAAAGAGCAGGACAATAGTTATCTAAGCTGTAAAAGATAAAACATAGTACAATCTCCAAATGAGAAAGATTGCCAGAGAGGTAGGTAGGTAGGTGTGTGTGTGTGTGTGTGTGTGTGTGTGTGTCAGTCACACACTTTCATTCTCTCGCTCATACAGTCATTCAGGTCTTAGAGACTTTTAGAGGACCCCCCAATACTACAGCTATTACTATGACTACTGATACTACTTCTACTACTTCTTCTAATTACTTATACTTCTACTACTAATAATACTTCTGCTACTACTACAACTTCTACTACTACTACAACTTCTACTACTACTACAAATATCACCACTGATGAAATTTTTTAAGCCACAGAAACTGTTCGAATATCAAAATGTTCAGCTCTTTCAGGAGAGGGGTGATATGACTTTTCATAGTTGTAATCTTTAAACTTTTTGAATTATTAAGCTTTTTGCATTTTTTTTAAAATTGGATCTCTATTTTCAGCAATGTTTTTGCAATTAATTTCAGATTTCAGCATTCCAACGCATTTTCAGCAGGAAATGCATTTTCTATTAAACATTAAACTCCAGACCAAGGCCTTGGAGCCTGGACCAGACCTTCTGAGCTCTGTAACAGTCTGGAATCACGTGTTCATCATGATAAGTTATCTGGCTCGTTTTGTTGTTCTCTTTCACTACATGTTTGGTTACGTGACATTAATCCATAAGAACCCAAACCCATGTTTCCTTAAAGGAATATTATAGATGATATAAAACAGACTCAATGGACCACATTTCTGGAAATATTTCTAGTGCCAAAGATCTGAAATGTAACATATGTCACATTGGCCGTTCACGTATAGATGTTTTCCTCATTTAAAAACTAATCAATTTTTTGATTGGTAACAAAGATATTTTTTTCTTTGCATTTCCACAACACATCAAAATTATAACTTTTATGGTTATTTAACCAGAAAATAAGTTTCAGATTTATTTTTCATTCAAGTAAATTTGTCTTCCATAATTAATTTAACTAATAGACTTTTTTTGTTTTAATGTCTTTTGAATTCAACAACAGAACATGTTTTAATCAAAATAATTGTATCAGTTTAATTCAGCTTTGTGAAATAAGCTAGTTCTGCCAAATGTGATGACCAGCCAGGCAACCTTTTTGGAAGTGATGTCATTCGTACACAAATTAACTGAAGGTCACATGACCTCACCAGGATGTTCAGTATGTCACTTAGAGACTTCAAGAGTTCAAATAAAGTATACAACTGTATCAGGAACCTTCCTGGATATTTACATTGTCTGCGACAGCAGTTGCCGTGGGTCTTCATTTAAACAAGTTTTCCCCAATTTTATGTTAATTAATGAGAATATTACAGACCCACAATTCATACGATTTATTTTTCCAGATAATGATGATTCACACAGAAATTAGTCAATGCATCCATCTACAAGTTTTATTTTTAAATCAGCAAAGACTTGAACCTGATCTATATCCTTAACATCTGCATCAGAAAGTATAAAGCAGCATTCACTTCTCTTGAACTAATGATGCTGTAAAAGAGACAATGTTTCAAATAACCTCCGATTTGAACAGGAAGCCAGCTCTCTAATGAGTAAGTGTGTGGCCCTTAAAAGGGCCTTTTGTTTATAATCAACGTGTGATTTAGAGTTTAACCGCCGAAGCCGTACAGAGTGCGTCCCTGTCTCTTCAGAGCATACACCACATCCATGGCGGTCACCGTCTTCCTCTTGGCGTGCTCGGTGTAGGTGACGGCATCACGGATCACGTTCTCCAGGAAGACCTTCAACACACCGCGGGTCTCCTCGTAGATCAGACCGGAGATACGCTTCACTCCACCACGGCGAGCCAGACGGCGGATAGCGGGCTTGGTGATTCCCTGGATGTTATCACGGAGCACTTTACGGTGACGCTTAGCGCCTCCTTTACCGAGTCCTTTCCCTCCTTTGCCTCTTCCGCTCATTTTCACTGGTTGAAGTCTTTCAAACAAGATAAAGAATGCTGATGGTTCACTGATATTTAAACCCTGCCTGAGGACGTGATAGAAGACAAGAGGCGGGGCTTCTCTTCTTCTTTGTATTTACCTGAAGGGTGATAATTAAACTCGTTAGCACCACCAGCTGTCTCCTACTGCTTGTTGCTGAAAGTCAAGCAATAAAGTTGTATACTCAAAAATGTACTTTATAATTACTGAAGTACAATATCGAGGACAATCATGTGAGTCTGTGTAGATATATCAGCAGGTATTAATTTAGTGTTCTGTCTGTATTATAGTTTCACGAGCATGAACACATGTTGAGAAGATCCAACTCAAAGTGAACCATGTTAACTGTGTAAGTGTGACTGCAGAATAACAATAGAAATGTGTGCAGTCAGTAAATGGTAGAACACAGTGAGCTCTTATGCAGTTTGAAGTTCAGACAATCTGCTGCCCTTCATGAGATGTTCGTAGAGGCAGATATTTTTCTGTTTGTGGATATTTTTTATCTGTTTTATGGTGTTTATTTTGATACATCATCTTATATTAAAGCGTCCGTTTACATTCAGATATGACATCGTAACACCTCGTCTAGTTCTCTAAGTCAGCAGTTCCCAAACTTTTTAGGCCACGCACCCCCTTCTACATCCCAACTGTTAATGGCACTGTTCATTTGAGAATGCTTGAAAGTGACTTTTATGAGGTGGAAAGTCATGATGAAGCACTCTATACACAGCCCAGAGGATAATCCTGCAAAAGGGTTATTATTCCTTCTTTTTATTTTATGTAGAATAGTTAAATGTGCAAACAGGAAATAAACTTGAAGGATTTCACATGCGATAGCTTTGTGGTGTTACTGTCATGACAACAGAGCCAACAATAAAGTCAAAGTTCAGAGTAAATCAACTCGTTTTACAGTCAGACTCTCACACGTCTCAACGCTACAGCCTGAAACATTCACCCAAATAGTTTAAGCCTTTATTTACATAAATAAATATAATGGATACATACAAGTAATTCAGTGTTTAAGACCACTGACAGTTTATTCACATTCAATTGTGGGAATGTGGCAGAAATAATATTTTATCACCATCATATAATGTTCAATATTTAGGCTATTTGTTTATTGTTCATTCAGCTTCCCTTAAATTGATCGATGGAGCAAACGTTTGAAAAAGCAACTTTTACTTTGAAGGCGAGGCGTCTGTTTAGACTGGACTTCCTTTACTCAATTTTCATTATTCAAGTTCCATAATGTAACAAGCTGATGCTTTGGTGTTGAATTGCACTGCACGTGTTCATTCTATGAGACAACAAACAGACAAAGCATTAACCACGTTCAGGCAGCATCGGCTATGAACTCACACGGAGCAGAGTACATTTAAATTAAGATATAGACATCAGGTAATACTCTCAAACTGACATTGTTCATTATACAACATGAACAATGACAATTAAACCAATTTTGTATTAAATAATGTATTTAAGAGGTCCGGGGATGTAGCCTTCAAGTTATTTAGGTTGTAGAAGAGAATACAGGTACAGAAGGACTTAGTTTATCCGTTGTCACTGATGGTGAAACATGAGTTTGCAGAAGAGGAATGAGCTCTTCAGAGAGAGTGAGGTGGCTCTTAAAAGAGCCGTTGTGGTTTGTGGATCAGCAGACAGTTTAAGCTCGCTCTCCGCGGATGCGACGGGCCAGCTGGATGTCTTTGGGCATGATGGTGACCCTCTTGGCGTGGATGGCGCACAGGTTGGTGTCCTCGAACAGGCCGACCAGGTAAGCCTCACTGGACTCCTGCAGAGCCATAACAGCGGAGCTCTGGAAGCGCAGGTCGGTCTTGAAGTCCTGAGCGATTTCTCTCACCAGACGCTGGAAGGGCAGCTTGCGGATCAGCAGCTCCGTGGATTTCTGGTAGCGACGGATCTCTCTCAGAGCCACGGTACCGGGCCTGTAACGGTGAGGCTTCTTCACGCCGCCGGTGGCCGGGGCGCTCTTACGGGCAGCCTTGGTGGCCAGCTGCTTCCTGGGGGCTTTGCCTCCGGTGGATTTACGAGCGGTCTGCTTGGTTCTTGCCATGACTTCTTCTTTCACTGATCAGGAGGAACATGCAGTCAAAGAGGAGACACGCTGCTCTTAAGCTGTGGGACCGGCTGTGAAATGGTGACGCAGCTTCAGACCTCCGGCTCCTGATTGGTGAGGGCTCCTCCTGGAGCTCAGCCCCGCCCAGAGCAGCGACCCACCGCCCGAGTCTCCGCTGCTCATTGGCGGAAAATGCTTTCAAATTGCCCGCCAAAATGCAGAGTGGTCCGCCCTCTGTTCTTCTGCTGGAAGCCTCTTTTCTGGTTGGTCTGTTTGTCAGGAAACGTCCCACGCGCTCCGCGGACATATAAAAGAGGGTTTCGGTTGTTGGTCAACATTCATTTCTCTAAAAGCATCTAACGACCAGTGGCAGAGGAAAACCCGGAGATTTTCTGTGGTTTAGTGAAAATGTCTAAAGTCCAAATGCTGAGATCTTTAGTCAATCAGCGACTAACTGCGGCTGCTGAGGAGATATTTGGTCTGTTTGAAGGAACAATAGCAGAGTACGAGGAGGAAGTTTCTGCTTTAAAAGAGGAGAACGAGCGACAACAGAAACTACTGGACGCTGTTTTCAACCCTCAGCTTCGGTTACACAGAGCAGACGTCCAGCAGCTGTTGGTGATTAAAGAAGAGGTTCCCCCTGAGCAGCAGGAGTGGAGCTCCAGTCTGGACCAGGAGGACCCAGCGCCAACTCTTTTCAGATGGTGAGTGAATTCTTGGTCTGAGGTCACGGGGTCACAGGTCACATGCTAAACCACAATACGGTGGTGATTTATTGAAAGGCTGTAACATTTAAGACTCGTTGCTTACTATTAATATTATAATGTTACCCAGCTAGTGTTGTTTTGACCATTAAAATAAAAGTTTTGCTGATGTAAATATCTTCTTGTATGAAGTTATTTTGCATGTTTAGATACAGAATTGCAGAAAAATACCAGAAGGCAATTAATGTGTTTATGCATTGACTTCTGCAAGTATGTGTTTTCCTTTGTGTGATGTTATAATTTCTGTTGTCTCCGTTGAGTCACCCAGTCCTACGCACCTGTAAATAAATGTTGGAAAAAGGGAAAGAAAAGAAAAACCGGAGGGAAAGTCAGAGCTAAGGCCAAGACCCGCTCCAGTTCCCAGTCGGTCGTGTTCACAGGCTGCCCCGTCTACCTGGCGGCTGTGCTGGAGTATCTGACCGCTGAGATCCTGGAGTTGGCTGGAAACGCTGCCCGCGACAACAAGAAGTCTCGTATCATCCCCCGTCACCTGCTGCTGGGCGGAGTGACCATCGCTCAGGGCGGCGTGCTGCCCAACATCCAGGCTGTTCTGCTGCCCAAGAAGACCGAGAATGCCTCCAAGTAAACCTGGAGCCTCTCTGACTGCTGGAACCAGAACCTCAAACACTCACCTGATAAAGAGCTTTGTATTCAGGCGTCCCAATAACAAAAACATGCTAATATTTTAAAAACACAATTTGCATTTTTAGACTAAAGTATATTAATTATGGTTATTGATATAAAGCTGATCCCAACAGTTATTCCAGAGGCTGAGGTCACTTTACATACAAACTTTAGTTTGAGTCTCATTTGATTGACACATTAATAATGCTCTATTGATGAAAACAAAGTGAAGCAAGTTATTCGGTTTTGGAAAAACATAATTGCAAAAACATTGTAGTTTGTGTTTTGCTGTTTTCATCTTTTTGAAGTTGTATCTGTAATGAGGCTGCAATTATGTAAAATAAATGATTTCAGACCACAAAGTTTAGAAAGCTGTTTAATGTTTTTCAGGGCTGTAATTACCAATTATTTATTATCAGCTCATCTGAAGATTATTTTCTCAAAAAAACAATTGTCATTAAATGAAAACGCACTAGAAATTAGTCCTAAAATGAAACACACATGTGGCCTTTTCTTTTTCTGTGTGCAGGTACAGCAGTTTACTATACAGTGTTGTCATACATTTATCAAACACACACACACACACAGGTATCAAAATGTAATGTAAGGGGGAACGTTTATTATTTTCTCCTCAAATAACAAAAGCGCAGTACAAGAAAACATTTGTGCTCGAAAAAAAATAACAGAGAAAATGAGGCTGGATCTCTTCTTTGCTGGTCTGGTCATAAGACTTCATCCTCGTAAGAGCCAAATTCAATGTGCTGTTAAATATTCACTTGTATTTACATGTTTAACTTTAATCACATCTGTTTCTACTTTGAATGTTACAAGGATGTCGTTATAATTTGTTATTGTAAGGAATACATGTAAGTGACAGACAACTGTCACTTTAAGGTCACTTTGCGACAGTTACTGACAGTTGTGAGTAATATCTGAAGCAGTATGGAGCCGCACAGTTTTCCGACCGTGTTGTGGAACGTGTTTTGAACCATGTTATGAAACGTGTTATGACACGTGTTATATGGAACGATCTACGTGGATTCAGTTGTGGATAACCTGTGGATACTTAAAGTATGTCCAATTAATCAGCGTACTTTTAGGAAGAAAGGAAGTTGTTTGACTGACTTGTACGAAGGAAATTGGATCAATAAAACACGTATTGCTTTCATCTACGAGCGGCGTCGGTGTGAGCTATGTGCTAAGGACCAGAAACACGCGTCAACTTAAGGTTTACATTCTGCTAAAGATTTGGACGCTACACTCATCACATGCGATGTTTCCTGAGCTCAGCAGCGAATATTGCCTTAACTACAGTATCCAGGTCTGGAATGAGCCCTGATCTTTGTCTCCTCAAGCCTCCTCCAAATTCAGGAATAGTGAGTATGGGAGATTGAGTGAGATAAAAAGTGAGTGACCTGTGAACCAAGTTTGGTTCAAAGCAGACTAACTAACATTGTCCCAGACGATGACGTACCTGGGCTGCTCTGGCCCTTGGTCATTAGGGTCATCAGGCCCCTGGTCATTAGAATCATTAGGCCAGCAATGTGAGAATGTGTGCAGGGTTGTATGGGCCCAGGATTGCCAGATAGTGGGGGACGTCCTTGTTTTTGTCAGGATGAAACCTGCCTCTTCTACGTATATAATAGCTGATGCACAGCATCTGCATTTAGCTCCATGACTCTCTGAAAGAGACGAGACAAAACATTGTATGGAAAGACAGACAAGGATCAGTCAATATGACGTAGCACCATACACTTCCAGATCCAGGACCAATGATGGGATAGTACAGCTGACCTGCACATATTCATATCTCAGTGGTTTTAAACGGTGAAAGTGACTCTGTACAGCTGCTTCATCCTATTTCTACTCTTTCAGTAGACAAGACGTTATCTGCCGTTATCTGGTTCTGCAGTTCTCTGAGTCTGATGCAGTTATTTGCATTGGCCATATTTACAATGTGGGTCTCCTGCTCTGAGGTGGACAGGAGACCTTTTCCACCAGATACTGGTTTTCTTGCGGTTCTGTAAAAACCTTCTCATTATGAAAATACAGTGCATATTGACGACAGCACTTACAGTTACTTCCCTCTTCTCATTTAGAAATATCCAGATGATACGTCGATGTGGAAAAGAAATTGGCAAAATAGTGTAGTGACCAATGTTTACAGTTTTGTAAGAAGTGTGTTGTTAAATTGCAAACTGATAGTAAAACAGAAAACATTCATTTAGTTTGGCACACTTGGTAAATGCTTTGGCAACAAGTGTTTATTGTTTCACAGATAGTGCTTCAACAATCACTGTAATAAACTGTAATAACGGAGGTTTTGAAGGGCCGTCCCTACCTTCACAATAAGTCACAGCTACATTAATACAGCAGCCCTCATCACAGTGACTAATAGTAAACATGGTGCCCTGTGTATGTCAAGAAGAAAAAGTCACTCAACATAATAAGACTTGGTCATTCCAGTTCAAAAGGAAAGCTTTCAGCTGGTTTATGTGGCCATTGTTAGGTTGAGGAACTGGTAATCATGGATTGTAATATGTTTGAATGAAATAGTTGTTGTGTGGGTGTGTTGAGAAGAAGAGGTAACAATTTATATTTAACTGTGCAACCCTGTCTTTTGAAATAAAAAACAAAAAAATAAATCTTGTAACATTTTAAGAACCATTAAAGTTCTTTATTCCAGTGAAGAAGTCGTTGGTAATGAAATCCTTTGTTCTCGGCTCCCTCCAACAATGCTTCTACATAAAGGCAGTTTAGTGCAGTACAAAACCTTTCATCTCTCATAATTACACTGTTGAATAAGCTGCAACTTTTTTTTTGCCTTACTTACTGTTCCTGTCAGACAATAAATCACATTTGCCCCATCTGTTCCCTCTAGATTAATGTAAACCTGTATGTTTTATAACTTTGTATCACGGACAGTAATTTAGTCACTCAAACACTAAAGACATCTGCTCACAGGAACGATTTGGTTCCTGATTTGGTCTTTGGCGCATGCTCAGAAGACAGCCAATCCTGTGCAAACAACAGCACAGTAACGATTAGGTCTTTGGCGCATGCTCAGTCCCGCTCAGAAGACAGCCAATCCTGTGCAAGCAACAGCACAGTCTAATTTGCATCAAGTTGATATATATTGACCGCCCTGTGCTTCTGGGAACATCTTCCGACTCAGAAAAAACCCGGAATCATGCCTGACGCCACCGTCAAAGCGCCCAAGAAGGGCTCAAAGAAAGCCGTCTCTAAGACCGCCGCCAAGACCGGCAAGAAGAGGCGTAAGAGCAGAAAGGAGAGCTACGCCATCTACGTGTACAAGGTGATGAAGCAGGTCCACCCTGATACCGGCATCTCCTCCAAGGCTATGGGCATCATGAACTGCTTCGTGAGCGACATCTTTGAGCGCATCGCCGGTGAGGCCTCTCGTCTGGCTCACTACAACAAGCGCTCCACCATCACTTCCAGGGAGATCCAGACCGCTGTCCGCCTGCTGCTGCCCGGTGAGCTGGCCAAGCACGCCGTGTCTGAGGGAACCAAGGCTGTGACCAAGTACACCAGCTCCAAGTAAACACCTGATGGAGACCAACAACACAAAGGCTCTTTTAAGAGCCACCCACTTCATCTAAAGATGTTTCCTCTGAATATAGAAAATGTTTGTTGGTAAACTGAGACAAAGTGATTAATGGCTGCTGTTTTGCATAGGATTCAAATGGTTATACTTCAGAGGTTATGCAATCTATTTATGTACAGCAGTAATGCACTCAAGTGCGTGTGTCCGATTTGTATTTTTATTTAGTTGTACTTGTTAAAGCGTCTCTCAGGGCTCTCCTTGAATTGAGTAGGACACAGTTATAGAACTGGAAAACTAAAGTCCTTGTATGAGCGATTTCATGGAAATTTAACTCCTTAAATATTTATTTATACAGTGCAAAATAGAATTTTGTGTGTGTGTGTGTGTGTGTGTGTGTGTGTGTGTGTGTGTGTGTGTGAATCGACCAACATCCAGAGGAAGGATAGCAGTTCTGACACGAAGATCTTGTAGATAACAGAGATCGAACACCTGATTCAGGGCCAATATATAGTGTGACCTCACTTTTTAGGCGTGAGCGCCGTCTTTGGGACGTCTTTCACTACTTCAGTTCTTCTTTCAGTCCATGAGGAGGAACCAGAGAGAGATGACATTACACATCTGACTTTGAGTCAGAGATCATTTTCTGCTTTCTTGTGAGGTGCCCTGCTCTACAGGTTCTGTCTTGTATATTATCATTCTATGATTGTGTTTTCTGCTGATATCTACTAAACATGTTTACAGCACAAACTGCATTTTTCTAGAATATTGAGCACTGACGCCAGAAGGGCTGAACTCTGTTGTTCAGTAACATTAAGTTTATATCTGTAGATCAAAGACCTGTTGATGGTCTGTGTGAGATACAGATCACTAAGTTACATTCAACATCTGTTACTATAACCTGCTTTATAGAGGCTGATGGCCAAAAATATCATCTTATAAAGGATTTCAGGATATTAATTAGGATCTTAGGATATTAATTAGGATCTTAATGTAGGTGCTCAGTGAACTTTGAAGTTCAGTGGATACTCCTGAAGACATCCAGCCACTAACTGTCTGTGGAGATCTGGTTTCTCTCTGCGTATTGTTTTTCCCACATTTGACACCTGTGAATAACATTCAAGCTTGTGATTTCAATTATTTTAAGATTATGCATCCCTTACTTTAATTGAGGTTTATACTTATATTTTACATTATGTGCATGATATGATTACATTTATTATATATTTTATAAATAATATATATATGGTTTTACAGAGCAAGTATTACAGTTATATTCTATCCTTGGCAGGCTTCTCAACCTTTGAGTCAGCGTTCTGTCTCCTGTGAAGCTTTGCAGCACATTTATCATGTTTTGCAGCTCACTCTTCAACTTCCAGACATAAGTTGATGCCGATCTCCTCCTGTATGTATGTATGTTTAGATGTTACATTTTACTATTTGATACTTGTTAAGAATCGTGTGTAGCTATGAGCAATGGAACGTCCTTAAATGTATCATTTTTCTTCCTTAAAAAGTAACCGTTATGTCCGCTCTTAATAACTTGTGAAAAAACAGGAAAATTCGTTATTTTTCTATATTATTGTAATAAATTAGGTGACTTTCACTGAATAACCATTGTTTACTTGTGTTTTGTCTCTATATTCTAAGACAAAGCTTGTTATAACATTAAGAACAAACAGGAAAATGCTCTTTATGAAGATGTGGGTGGCTCTTAAAAGAGCCTTTTATAGGAGCGTTGGTACTTCAGACTGATAACAGCTCACTTCTTCTTGGGTGCTGCTTTCTTGGCTTTGGGCTTGGCAGCCTTCTTTGCGGGGGCTTTCTTGGCTGCGGGGGCCTTTTTGACCACCTTCTTGGGGCTCTTGGTGGCCTTTTTGGGGCTCTTGGCTACCTTCTTTGGGCTCTTGACGGGTTTCTTGGCCGCTGCGGGTTTCTTTGCCTTCTTGGGTGATTTCTTAGCGGCTGCTGCTGGTTTCTTTACCGCCGCTGTCTTGGTCTTTTTGGCCGCTGCGGGTTTCTTAGCTGCGGGCTTCTTGACTGTAGGAGCGGTTTTCTTTGCCGGTTTCTCGACAGCCGTCTTACTCATCTTGAAGGAGCCAGAGGCCCCGGTCCCCTTGGTCTGGACCAGAGTCCCCCTTGTCACCAGGCTCTTGATGGCGGTCTTGACGCGGGAGTTGTTCTTCTCCACATCGTATCCATCGGCGGTCAGAGCCTTCTTCACGGCGGCAGCAGACACGCCGCTCCGCTCCTTGGATGCGGCCACAGCTTTAACGATGAGCTCACCGACGCTGGGACCAGCCTTCTTCGGCCTGGACACCTTCTTCTTCGCTGCTTTGGCCGCCGCGGGGGCTGGAGCTGGAGCTACTTCTGCCATTTTCTATCGTTGTGTTAGTAGTCACGAGAACACGAGAGTCTGACTGACTGTTGAAGAGCTCAGAGCACGGGGCTGCACTTAAACACACCATGAGAACCGTGGAGACTCAACCCAGCCCGGGACTCCTCAGTGCAGTCTGAAAGCAGAGTCACTTGTGTTTTCTCTTCACTGATAAAGACTCAAAACTAAATGTGGAAGAAGTACTGAAGGCTGACGGTGAAGGGAGCCGATAGCGGACTAGTGTCTCTTCATATTGAAGTCATGTAGAGCTCTGATGATCTCTGTGTTGTGTTTGAGGAGCCTCCAAACCTCACCTCCTCACCGCCGTGGACAGCACTGATCAGCGGCTTTTCCCACTCATTTCTCTCTAAAAATGAATTAAAATGCATCAGAGCTCCATCAAAAGTCGTTTCACAACTGCTCCACATGTTTGTTCAGAGTCTCGATGTAAAAACAAGCATCTGATGTTGATCAGTGTTTAATAAACTGAAGTTATTCTGGGAGCAGCAAACACACTGATGATGGTCGAGGCTTATGGTGCAGTTCAGCCAGACTTCCTATCAGAGCTGCTCACTGTGAACATGTCCTCTGCTGATGATAACTTTTAATAGAAATAGTTATACTATTAATGATCAAACACACTGACAAACAAATGCAATCTGTCTGGGAGAGCAACGTACTGCTTCAAATGTTACAGTAACACGGTTTCATTGATACTGTCAGAGCCAAACAGATATTACTTTTATTCTGCTGAGTTATACAGCAGATCAAATTGTAAATAAATTATATATACTATATGTAATTTTTCTAACAGCTTCTAAAAATGTCAAACACTATTACCATACATTATATTAATATTTTCATTATTATACTCTTATTTTACAAACACAAAGGATTCAGTTCCAAACTTTGGACCTGTTGTATAAGTGTACAAACTACCCGTGTTTATATAATACTGTACATATCATTGCTTTGTATTTCCGGGGCAGTGATGTTAAAATACATTTAATTGCATTAAATGTCTTGTTAAATGGATTCATGATGCACTGACCTGAAGAGGTATGTATGGTTTAAAATGTATTGTTTCACATTCTATGTAGAGGAAGAGAAATGTTTATAATACAAAACATAGATTAGGTAGTACATTTGTAGTAAAGGAATACATCTCGTCAGTGTGCTCAAGCTATACTCAGTCACTAGAAGTATCTATATTGTGTCTGTGGCCCAATACAAAAGACTTGATGTGTGATATTGGGCTGTACCAATAAACCTAGTTTGACAGCTGAGATGAGTAAATGCTTTGTGTTTAGTACTGTGCCTTCCTAATCATTACTCTGACATAACATGTTTGCTTCTGACTCTCAGCCCATCTTGAAAAAAAAAAAAAAAAAACGAAGCTGGATCAGATGGTTTCATAAATTTAAGTCTGGTTGATATCATTTATTTATAAATATTCTTTTCAAAAACAGACCTGGACCATCAGTAAAAAAAAAAAAAGGCACAAAAACAAACTAAAGCCTCAGATATTACAATAGCCTCATCACAAACAAATTAACTTCAGTAAAATAGATAACACCTTCATGGATGTTTCATCCAGACAACTTTCCTGCTCCCAGCTTTGGGTTGCAGTATTTCTTCCTTTATTAAACACTTAACCCAAACCCTAGTTGACCTGCTGACACCTTAAAAATGGTGGTTTGTGTTTTCACAAGATGTACAGCTCTGTTAAGAAGTGACCCGCGTTCTTCTCCAGGATACCAGCTCTTTCATTGAGTAAGTGTGTGGCCCTTAAAAGGGCCTTTGATGGTTTGATAACGAGCAGTTAGAGTTTAACCGCCGAAGCCGTACAGAGTGCGTCCCTGTCGCTTCAGAGCATACACCACATCCATGGCGGTCACCGTCTTCCTCTTGGCGTGCTCGGTGTAGGTGACGGCATCACGGATCACGTTCTCCAGGAAGACCTTCAACACACCGCGGGTCTCCTCGTAGATCAGACCGGAGATGCGCTTCACTCCACCACGGCGAGCCAGACGGCGGATAGCGGGCTTGGTGATTCCCTGGATGTTATCACGGAGCACTTTACGGTGACGCTTAGCGCCTCCTTTACCGAGTCCTTTCCCTCCTTTGCCTCTTCCGCTCATTTTCACTGGTCAAAGTATTTTGTAATATGAAGAATGCTGATGGTTCACTGATATTTAAACCCTGTCTGAGGACGTGATAGAGGACATGGGGGGGGGGGGGGGGGGGGGGGCGAGGCTTCTCTTCTTCTTTGGATTTAACTGAAGGGTGATGTGTAACTTGGTGCACCCTAAAGGACTGTTAGAGATATTGGACTAACAAGTTCAGGTTAAAAGGGCTTTATTTAAGTTTTTGAATGGAACAGGTTTATATCCAGAATATAACTTCTACATGAAGTCTTTTTTTTTAAATTTGTAATAATATTATTGTGTTTATGACAATTGTCATAAAGCCATGATGTTACACACTCCGGTACAGTAGGTGGCGGCATGCACCTTAAACGTGTGTTTGTAGTCCGCCAATAAACATAAAAGAAGCAATGCGTGTCTCCTCCATAGTTTGTTGCATATGGGCACAATAGGTACTTAAAAGGTGTACTAAAGTACATTATCAAGGACAATTATGTTGTGTGTCTACGTAGACATATCAGCAGATATTCATTTAGTGTTCTGTCTGTTGTATAGTCTCACTGAGTCGTCGTTTTTTCGACTGTCTCACTGTATTTATTTTATATTTTGTTATTAATCATGAAGTGATGAAACATTTACATAGTGTGGTTTAGCCTAATTTCTGGTCTGTGGGCGTTCAAATTAAACAATATGGAAATGAAACCGGAGTGAGAAGCAAAGTCAAAGCTACATTTCAGAGGATTGACTTCAGACTTTGTTCTTCATGAACTGACACCACCAGAGCTGATGTCTATGTAGAGCAGCGGTTCCCAAACTTTTTAGGCCACCCAGGGATTGGGGGTGCGTGAACCCGGTCGGGATGTAGAAGGGGCCGGGATGTAGAAGGGGCCCCTTCCACATCCCGACCGGGTTCACGCACCCCCAATCCCCCACACCTTAAAAATTTTTTTTTTAACAGAGCCTATTTATAGCCGCATAACAATCGTACCAATGAGAGAACAGTTTGCTCGCGCGTGGCTTTGTTTACAAGATTTAGTCCGCTGTTAAATGTTGCAGTGTGAACACAAACCGAACAAAGGGGCAACTGCAACATTGTATCATATTAATCCCTGAATCAGAACAAAGCAAACGAACTACGGGTGTGAAAACGCCCTGAAACACTGCAACAAAGTTTCAATACATTTCAGTTACACAAGGCGTCACTTTTAAAGAGCAAAGGATGGCGAGGACACATTGTGTGAGGTAGCCTCTTGCTATTCTGTAACTGACCAGATATGAAGCCCGTAGTGCGTGTTTTGTAGACCCAACACATGAATGAGACTGCAGTTGTTTTTGGCTGTTTTGTAACTCCTCCGATTTCGATATAAAAAATGTAAGGGGCTTTTGACTTGCACTGGCATGCTTGGTGTTCAGGTGGCGACGTAAATAAGAGGGCTTCAGACAGCTGTTAGCCAGAACCTCACTGCACACCACGCACTGTGGCTTTAGGCAATCTGCATTGCCACAGATCATTTTCATAATTGTTCCTCTTTTTTTTCCCAGTCTGATGCTCACTCTCGTTTCCTCTTTTTTCCGCGATGGGCCTTTGTGCTCCCGATTTGTCTGTGCTATCCCTTCCTCCTTTTCGGTCTCCTCTGACTCCTGCTCGATTTCCTCTCTCTCTCTCTCTCTCTCTCTCTCTCTCTCTCTCTCTCTCTCTCTCTCTCCTCTTTTATGACTGATGGCTTCAGATGTCCCACCTGACAGGTTCCCAGATTTCAGCCAATTTAGCATATTTGCATGAACGTTGCAGAATGAATGAAGTTAGCTGTTAGCTGACGTTAGCTGCACAAGCTAGGCTACGTGTACGTGTGTATGTACAAGACAGTCTGGCGGCAGGAGCAGAAGTGCACTTCTGCTCCTGCATACAGATCTTCTGCATACAGTCACTGTTATACAGATCCTGCAGCTGCGCCCCAGAGGCACGGAGAACAACTGCAGGTGTGTTTCAGACTATATACCTAACTCGTATATAGATAAAGATGACAATCTGTGACTTTTCCCTTTTATTGTAGTCTAAGTTGATACAGGTCCATCTACACCGGAGCCACGCCCACAATTAACAACACAATCTTTAAACTTCTGTCAGCTGCAATTAACAAACGCACACAAACGTACAGAGTAAGATGAATATATAGCTGTGACCATCAGAGGGTGCTGTTGTTCTAGATGTGACGTGGAGCCTCATTTACTGCATCTCTTGTTGCAAAGTGTTCAATTAGCTGTAAATAGCTACAGCTGTGGACAGCTGTGCAGGTAGATGTACCAGTTTAGGGGTATAATTTTCGTTTCAGGTGTAGGAGGTCGCTGGTTAAAAACCCATAAATACCCTCTTTTAACCTCTGGGGGCCATTTGTAAAACAATGTGTTTCTTTGAAATACAATTTTATCAACAAGTTGTATCCACTCCTGGGATAGAAGAAGAAAGCAATAGTTTTGTGATCTAACTTTCCACTAGATGAGGTTCAGGACACGTGCCACGTCACCTGTTAGAAGACTTTAATGATAGATACAGATTAACAATTGTAAACCCTTTTAAAGTTTGTACACTAGTCTTCACTTTGAGTGTTTTCTAGACGAGTACTCTGCTTTTAACTACTGGGGTCAAAGGTCACAAAAGCCAGGACATACATGACTGCCAACAGTCTGTTGCGACATGAAGCCTACTGTACACTAAATAACTGTTGGTATAGAGTGGTGCAGTGATGAAATATATTAGTAGACCAGCCCGGAAGTAAGCATCACAGTGGTTCCCTCAGGGAAAAAAACGCCAATTGGATTTTGGAATATTGCAGAAAAACAAATCTGCAGCAAACAAACGTTGATATTTACAAGTTTTGTTCAGCAAGATAAACCTCACAAGTAAACACCACTTAATGATTTTTGAAGCGCGAATGTAATCTCCAGAAGTAAAGGCTATAAACGAACTACACCACGGTTCTACGGTACCATGAGTGTGAGTATACGCAAGCAGTCTCGTTTAGCCACGTGTTAGCAACTGTCCTTTAGCCGTATCGTAGAACAAAACGTTAAAATTTCTTAAGCTTGTGTTAACCACAGACCTTATATCAGGCGTCTAACCAAAAAAAACAAAACACAGACTTTGAGATAAGATAATGTTATGGCCATAACTTCTGGACACAGGGAGAAACCCCCCCCTTGCAGCCATGTTCTCTCAATCGCCTCCAAAACACAACAGCAGGTTAAAGTAAAAATCAAATGGATTTATTATCCAAGAAGCATAACAACAGATACAGACAGTTACAAACCAAATCACACTACTAATAACAAAACAAACCTATGTATAAAATGAAAGGTGAGATCCAATCCGAGCCACCCAGGAGGCTGGTCTGCCTCCTTGGTGGCCAGCAGAAGATCTGAAGATCCCCCAGAGCTTCAAACCCTTTGTCCCCCCAGAGTTACATTCCTCAGCTCATCGATCAGCTCATTGATTGGCTGAAGTCCAACAAGCCCCACCTGGGCTATGCCCCATTTTCCTAAACTTCACACCTCTCCCAGCCACTTTCACACAACCCCCGCTCCAGCACATTCCTCAAACCCCCTCTCACAGACACTTAATGCATGAAATGACCAGATTCCTACAAGTAAATATACTGTATCACATTATATCCATAATTAGGAGCGCTTTAAAACTTAAATTCCTCACAATAACCAGAAGCGTAAATACGCTGATTCATTTCCAGGTTTAAGGACTTCTTCCTGCAGCACTCTAATATTCCCTGGGGGATATGAAGGCTGACCACTATGAGTGCAAATATACATTATACTACATAGCATGCTTGTTGTGTCCCTCTTTTGAATTGTGTGATGTTGCCAATTTATCATGTTTTTTAAATAAAAATCAACAACAAAGAACACAGCGTGACACATTATTCTTTGGCCAAATGACACACTATTCTCTTGATAATGTTCACAGCATATCACAAGAGAGAACTACACCGTTCAGTGCACAGCTAGTTTTAGAAGGGACGCCTCATTCACTGTTGCTCACAGTGTGGCAAAGACTAACTTTGCTGCTATAGACTGCAGCTCTCGCTGGGCTCTCCCAACAGGAACGGGACTTTGTTTGTGTAGCTCATGTGGTCAAATTCAGGATGTTTGTTTTTGAATTAGGGGGAAATATTTAGTTCTGACTGGCTGGAGAGCAGCTCTGTCTCCGATATCCCTTCCTTGCACAGCTTCCAAGCAACAGACATGTTGTTGTGTTTGGCAGGATTTAGTGGAGGAAAATAGAGTGCCAAAATACAAAGAAAAGTACCATTGTAAATACTAAATAACATCTTTAGTACATCAGAAGATAAGATTACTGGCATAAATCAACGTGAACATGTGCTTAAAAGTATGTCAGCGTCTGTAATAAAAGATGAAATACAACAGTAAATAACATTTTAGAAAATCACTAATGCTTTGGTAAATTTCAACCTTGATTTGGCACGAGTGGCACATCCACGGGAGATGTCAGCATTTATCCTGTGGATGGTGTCAGGATGGAAGTCTCTTGGTGGGAGGATGGTGGAGATAATGAAAACCTAAATGGGAAAACCTGAAATAAGAGTTTTGTTGCTATGAAGGGGTTTACCCTATTACTCTATAACTTCCCTTGAGTGAGAGGAAAACTGTGCTAGAGTTTGGTGTCTTTAATCCTTTTAATTTTTGTACTTAGCTTTAGCGTGACACGTTTGCTAAGTTAGCTTCGTGACTGTATTTTATAGTCTTCTATAATCCTTTTCTTTTTGGGTTCCTCCCAAAAGATTGTCCCCTCGCCATTTTCAGTATTTAGTACGTTTATCTGAGTTTAAAACTGTTTAATTTGTTACTTCTGTAAGAGTTTCTCTCTCTTTTGAGCTGTCTCTCTGTAAAGGACGTTTTCTCTAAATGGGTATTTTTCTCATCCCGAGTCAGACATGTTCCCTCCAGTAGCACTTACATACAACTTTCCAGTTTCAATCCTATCTGTATTCTCAAGGTTTTTATAGAGGGGTTTGTTCATATTTAGCATGGATAACCTGATTAGAACATTTCAATTTCCTAAAAACATGGCAAATTTTCTTTTCTTTTTTATGCTTGTTGACTGTATTTTCTGATTGAAAGAGTGAGATATCCAAAATTCCCTCTGTTAACGACCTTTTACTCATGTCAACAAACTAAAAACAAGAATTTGGACCTGGCTTTATCCAATGTTCAGATTTCTGCTCTGGGATGTATGCAATTTAGCTCATATTTAATAAGATATGGCCTCACTTGTATATTTAAACATACATTTTCAGAAAACGTGTATGCAATTGCCAGAATGCAAGTACTAGTTTCGATGTCTAATAGCTATTTTATATTTTTAATTTCGATGCATTGAGCACCACAAGATTTTGCCCTTTCATCTGTTTTTGGAGTCCGAGCAGCAGATTTCAAATCCCTTCACAAACACTGTCTCTGTGTTGTATTGTGTGGAAGTGAGACAACACCCAATGTGCCTGGCAGTCAACTCTGTACAGACATCAACATTGTTATGTAACCACATGGAAACAGTACTGTCCTGTTCGCCTTCCCCCTATAAGGAGTGGTTTTAGTCTATAGCGAGCCAACATTGAGCTCAGTCCACAACAACAAGCTTGCAACAAGCGGCGATACAAAGGTGAGATATGTGCTTTATTTTCGGGTTTACAAGACAACACGTGGAGGATGAAGACTAACTGGTTGGTTTGGCAAGTGTTTGTTTCGCTACTAACTTCTCCATCTCCGTAAAGGAGTCTCCATTTTCTACAGGAGGCGTCCGGTGTCTGGTCGATGAGAGTCTCCAGTCTAGTGATGAGCAGTCAGTCCGAAAAGACGCTGCGCTTCAGATGTTACGTGCTTATGTAATGTTGACAATTCTATGACGTCATTTGGGCAGAGTAATTTATAACGCTTCAGACGATTTAAAGAGTAGCGTACTTGTAAAAAAAACAACAACGTAGTACAAGTAAAAGTGCTGCATTTCAAATGTCACTTGACTAAACCTATGCCAGTTTAATAATATGGAATACTATTCAAAGTGAAAGTAATCTTAATGCAGAAAAAAAGACATACTCTCGATGTTGATTATTTTTTCTAATGCAGACTAAACCTCAACATTCAAAAAAAAATATGTCATATAAATGATTAAAACAATTAAAAGGAATGCATGAGAATATTTGAGAAGCTGGGACTATGTTGGGCATCTTTTGCATTAAACATTATTTTTTTGTATGCAACAATTTGGTGTGGTGTAAGAAAAGAAAAGTGCAATATTTCCGTCTAAAATGCAGTGGACTGCAAGCAGAAAGTGGCAACATTGTAATGACCTCTGATGTTTTAAGTACAGTATTTGAATAAATGTACTTGTTTGCGTTCCACCGCCGGCTGTAACTGATTAGCTTTCTTCAACTCTATTGACAAGCCATGACAATACGCTTTGTGGCAAACTACCAAACTAATTTAGCAACATATACACTGATATTTTAGTGGACAATTCCAGCCAAAGCCTGTCAAAGTGTGTGACCTATTTTCTGTTTGATGTTCCCACTCACCTTTGAATACAGCTGAGCAAACTACAACCAGAGGAGGCAGCACTAAGAACGGAGGAGCTACACTCTTACAGCAAGTCAATCAGCTCTTCAGTTCAGTCCATTCCACCATATTTGCGTCAGTCATCCTGCTATTAATCTGCGTTGTCTTCATCCTCATTCAACTCAAATCCCAGAGGCCAAAGAACTTTCCACCAGGACCCACCGTCCTGCCGATACTGGGGAACATTTTGGAACTCATTTTGCTCTTATGTGCTGTGTTTACCTGCTTTAAATTGTCTTTTAATGTCATTATTATCCTGACTAAGTCTGCTTGGGTGTGTCTGATATTTTTCATGCTACTAGCCAAATTTCCCATGTTAGACAATAAAGACCAAACTAAGTGAGCAAACATGTTTTTTTTGTGATTTCATTGATTTGCTGCGAGTAATATCCTTCTGAAGTTATATGATATATATATATTTAAAACACTGACATGTTATCTGGTTCTCTTCCAGCTGAGGAAGACTTATGGAAATGTCTACAGCATATTTCTCGGTCCCAAACCAGCAGTGGTCATCAATGGGATGAAGACCATTAAGGAGGCTTTAGTGGCCAAGGGTGTTGATTTTGCTGGAAGACCCCAAGACCTGCTTGTCAATGACTCCACCCAGAGGAAAGGTAGGACAGACGTGATGTTTCAAAGGGCAGTGAATGTAATCCCACATTCTGCAAAAGTACTTTATATGTCAGCAGTGTATCTCTGTCCATGCATATAGGGATGGGACAGTTACCACTATATATGGTGTTAAAATAATAATTTTATTGCCATTATTATCACAATAAATGGAAATGTGTGGCCTATGCACAGACACATGCTGCAGCATGGAGGGAAATGGTGAAAGCCTGTTGACTAGTATCTCTTTGTCGCTCATAAGGGCACAGCAATTCAGCAATATGACTTGGAGTTGAACCACAAAGTGCTTTAAAGGGATTCAATAAAACCTTAAAATTAAAATCAAAAACCTACTGGTAACCAGTGAAGGGAGGCTAAAACAGGGCTGATATGATCTTGCCTTCTAGTATTTGTGTAAAGCCGAGCAGCTGTGTTTTCTTTGGCAGCACCTCACAACTCAAAAGGAGGGGAACAAGCGTATGTTATGTAACAGATGTATGTTTACAGTGTGCTATTCAGTTTGCCAGAGAAAAGGAGGTAGAGCTGGAGCTGACTTAACGGCTCCCTTTATCAAAACCATAACCTCCAACAAGGCAGTTAATCAGTCATCAAACTTGTCTGCACTTGTCCTTTAGAAGTCTAAGAGTGCATCCACACTACTCCGTTTCCATAGAAAAGCAGCTACATGTTTAAGCGCCTCTATATATTATTCTAACCACGAGTCTTTTGAAAGTATTTGTTCTCTAAAAAGTGGGACTCCATTCAGTACCTTTGGCAGGGGAAGCACATTCCTTACACAACACTGAAAATTGGTCCAACTGCCTTGACGCCACAACTTTTGCTAAGTTTATTTTGCTGTAATTTATTAACCCTCCATGTGTTCAAAACTAGTTCAAAAAGTATATAAATCATTAATAAAAATGTTGAGACCACTGACTGTAATGAACGGTAACTAAATAAAGAAGTGACATTAAGTTACAGAGGAGAGTAAATTATAAAACAGACTAGAAAGTGGCTCTGGAAAAACACTGCTATAATCACTTTCGTGCCACTTCGTCTGTTGTAGGAGTGATTCTGGCAGATTACGGTTCTAGTTGGAAGGATCAACGTCGCTTTGCACTGATGAACTTTGGTATGGGGAAGGATTCAATGGAGGAGAGGATTCATGGAGAGATACAATACACCCTTGACACGCTGGAGAACAGCATTGGTAAGTCATCAGTGAGCCCACAGTCCTCCTATGGATGGCAGGGTTCACTGTAATCAGTGACACTGAAATCTGAGCAGCACAAATACTCTACTATTTGATAATATTACAAGGTGGATCTTGATCACGCATTTCGATGAATGTTGATTTTTGCTTGTTCATTGCCAGTCTAATGTTCTTGTTTGCATTCTTGCACAATACTGTGTTGTACTTCAGTGAACATGTCTTTTACAGGCAAAACCTTCAGTCCGCAAATTATGTTTCATAATGCGGCCTCCAACATCATCTGCCAGGTTCTGTTTGGAAAACGCTTCGAGTATGACGATGAGGTCATCAAAGTGGTTGTTCAGTGCTTTACTGAGAATGCCAAGATAGCCAATGGACCATGGGCTATGGTGAGTCAAAGGCATGTTTGTGCCTTCAAACCTGGCTCAGAAATATCAGACTTCAGCTAAGCTAGCGGCTCTGTGAGGCTGTACTTGGGGTCAGTGGTGCTCAGAGTTAACTTTAGCAAGCTATACATGCTGATAGTTAGCAGGTATAATGTTTACCATATTCATCATCTTAGTTTAGCACATTAGCATGCTAGCATTTGTCAAATGGCACCAATCAAAAAGCTTGAGTATCACTAGCAGGGCTGCCAACTGTCACGCATCGACCGTGAGAGTTACCCAATTGACACTTTTCACACGCTTTAAAGCTACACGTCCATTTTCTCATGCAGAGAAAAACAAGTTTCTAACCGATAACATATGATCGAGGATATTTAAACCTGCAACACGCTCTGCTGCTCGGTCCTCTGTCAAAACTGCATAACTACAAAGAAGAAGAGAAAACAACAGCAACTGGCTGAGTGGTGTTTCATTCAACATGTTGGGATCTTAATCTGCTTCATGGCTCACACGGCCATCCTGTCTGTCTCCAGAAGAAGCAGCTGTCAGTACTTTCTCTGCACAGAGCGCTTGATTTTATGTCTTTTCCTCCACAAGCCGATTATATCTCAGGAACCCACGGTGTGGCCAGATAGCAGTCAAGTGGCCAAGTATATTAGCTGTCATGACAGACAGAGCTTTATTCTGCTATAGCTGGCATTAATTCCATAACCGCTGTTAGAAAAATCAGGTTGTAAAGTTACTGTTGCTGTCACAGAAATGCACTAAATTACACATATTACCATACTAATTCATGTTTGCAAAGTCAATGTTATAAGAGCATGAACAAAAATATGTTTGCCTCACAGAAATTTAAGTTGTTTTTTAGCTAAGCACAGAATCTTAGCCTATATGTGAAGATACAATCATCTGTTCAGAGCAATTCATGCCAGAATGCAGAATCTGCGTGTTTAGTTCTAAATAATCGAAAGACATATCTTTTCTTTTTCTAAACAGATTTATGACTCTTTTCCCATGATTCGAAGCCTGTCGCTGCCCTTCAGAAAGGCCTTTAAGAATGTTGAGGTATGTTAATATCTCTATCTCGATATCTATATTTTTATATATATATAAAATAATGGTACTCTAACCTCACCTTAAACATGTATACAGAGGCAACCAAAACACATGCATTTTGTCAATGGAAAAAGAAAAGTAGAATACAAATTATGAATGTTGAACTGAATGTTTTTCAGACTTGTCAGAAAATTGCGATTTCTTTGATGAATGAGCACAAGCAGACGAGAGTCCCTGGAGAGCCACGAGACTTTGTTGACTGTTATCTGGATTGGCTGGATAAGGTGAATCATGGAACACAGAAAAGTTGGGAAAATGAGAGAATTATGAATATGTTAATAATATACTTAGAGGTTGACGTCTTACATTGACATTTGCATCGGAATCTTTTAACTGACCACTTAGAAACCAATATTTGGGAAGTTCTGCCTATGATTTACATGTCGTCATATTTTATGTGGGTACTTAAGCCAATTTATTTAAGTTTAAAAGTATTGCATTTTTTTAAATAAGATTTAAAAGCAGGAAATACAGAGTTACATTTTGTTATATGTGGGCTCAACAATTAACTACTGCTGTTATGTCAAACGTTAAATGTTAGTTGTGTTTTATAGAAAATTAATTTTATATGGCATAAGTGGTTTTATGGTCCATAACCACTGAATTTCTTGCAGTGTAACTGGTTGAAAACTACACATTTACTATGGTTTGGCTTGTGACTCCGGATAATTTTCTGTATATGGCCTACAATCAATCTACAACGTTTGGCCACCATTGTTTTAAAACGATCATTCCTTTCTCCTCAGGAAGGTGATGCTAGTTCTTCCTTTTCAGAAGCACAGCTGACTATGTACGTCCTAGATCTTCACTTTGCTGGGACTGACACTACTTCCAACACCCTGCTTACTGCTTTCCTCTACCTTACGAACTACCCACACGTACAAGGTATGCAAACAATGGCTCCATTATTCTACCATTGTCTGTACCATCAATTTTTCATGCAGGAATACTTTCTATGAAAGTCATGAACTGAAAAGGTATTTTTTGTGGAAGACATATCAAAATGTCTATTGTGTAAAAAGGTAAATGGACTACAGCGCCTTTCTAGTCTTCCAATCACTCAAAGCGCGGTACACTACACGTCGACATTTACACGTCCATTCATACACTGATGGCAGATGCTGCCATGCAAGATGCCACCTGCCCATCAGGATCTAAACTCATTTAAAAAAAAAAAAAACGACGGCACAGCCTTGGGGAGCAATTTGGGGTTTAGTGTCTTGCTCAAGGACACTTGCTGACTGAAGATGCCGGGGATCGAATCGCCGTGCTTCCAATTAGAGTACAACCCATTCTACCTCTAACACACAGCCTATCAGTGACGAGATGCAACACCAATGATACACCTGACGTTTAGCTGCAAATATGCACAATGCTTTCACAGTTATAAATGGACAGTATAGTGCAAGTTATAGCAATAGCTCAGGAATCCCATATTCCAGCAGTAAAGGCTCTGAATTTTGCCCCCTCAACAAATTTCCCCTTGGGGACGATAACATCCACCTTCACAAGTCATCCCATGGGACATGGTCAGAGGCCTTCTGCAAATTCCAGAAAGCCCCAGGTACATTGAACAAGTACTCTTTGCCCCTCCAGGATTCTTGACAGACCAAAGGGCAGTTCCTTGCACAGGAAAAACAACCTGCATTCGTCCTCCTGCTGCTGAGGTTTGACAGTTGGCTACAATCTCCTTTCTAGCAATGTGGAAGAGGCTGTCCAACACAGAAGAACGCCTCTTTCACACAAGACACTTTGAAGCGTCACAGTAGGAAAAGTACAGGTGTAAAAATGTATATTAATGATGGCTGGATTCCATTTAGCTGCATCAGTTTCAGGCCCGTAGTTATTTTTATTAGTAACACCCCTGCTTCTCATAGTAGCTGTCTGCCTAGCTAGCTGCTAACTACCTGCGTGGAAATGGTGTAATGTAGTCAGCTCGTGCTTTTTCTTAGGAAAGACTGAGTTCACTCTGTTGGTCATTTAGAGTCAAGTATCTTTCCCTTTAAAAAAAAAAACCAAAAAAACATCTTTGTTTGATATTAAAAAGTAATTATTAGAGCCCGGCTGATAAATCAGTCATTGAAAATATATCAGTGTCGTTGTTTATGTCAGCCGGTAAATCACAAGAAAAAGTGCAGTAATGGCAAAGATTCTTTAATTTGCCAACCAGAGTAGTGAAAAGTTAGTTCTTCAGCTGTTAAATGTCCTGCCCGGTAAATGTCTTGGTCAAAGTTTAAGGGAGCCATATCAAAAAACGTATTCATGTTATGGGTTGTGTAAAGAACATTAACACCGATATATCATTCTTGGATTTTTAAACTGTCAAATATTCATGTCTGCATTATTCGGGCTAAAGCAGAGACACCTACTTGCAGTGAGCACACATTTCGTCAATTTATGGAACTAACCTTATTCAGCTTCACCTGATAAAATCAACTTTTGCTTGCAAAAAATTAATGAGAGAACTGTTAGGTATATAAGTTAAAAAAAGGTAATTTCCACCGTTTCCTTACTTTGTTTACATTATTTATCAGGGACACCACACATTCTTTTACTTCCACCTTTTCATAGGTTTACATTTCATCCACTCTCAATCATGTTGTTCATAGTGTTTTTGTCTTCACATTTCAATTCTATTGCAAATTATTATTATCTTTGCCGTTTCTCTCAGAGCGTTGTCAGCAGGAGATAGACGAGGTGTGGGAGGGGAAGGATCAGGCCAGTTTTGAGGCCCGAAACAACATGCCTTACGTGCATGTAAATCTTCACTTTTCTCATAATTTCACCTTAATTTTATGTGTACTCAGCATATTTGTTAGAGCATACACAGTAGAGCCTGCATTGTTTTTCTTCAGCCCCAAGTCAGATAAAGTATGGGACTCATGATACTTAAATCTTTTTCCATCCAGGCTGTGATCCATGAAGTGCAGAGGGTAGCCAACACTGTTCCACTCAGCGTCTTCCACTGTACGACTAAAGACACAGAGCTCATGGGATATTCCATCCCCAAGGTAAGAAGCAACTGGTCCTATCTATACTGTCACTATTGTCAAAAGCTGTTTAAGTGTTCTCTGCAGGGAATATGACTTCTCTGCAAATTATCATTCACATTTGATTTGACTGAGCTAAGAAAACAGTTTAGTGTCTTTCAGTAATGTAGGTCACAGATTTCCCTGAACAGATTACCATACTTAAATAATGGTAGCCTCATTACCTTACTTGGGTAGCTTAATTAAATCTTATCCTCTTATAAATGTTCTCTTCATTCCTCTTTACCCTTTCCTCTTTTGCTTCATTTTCTCCACAGGGTACGCTGATCATCCCTAACCTGGGCTCAGTGCTGAATGAGGAGGGACAATGGAAATCCCCAAATGAATTCAACCCTGAAAACTTCCTCAATGACCAGGGAGAGTTTGTCAAACCAGAGGCCTTCATGCCTTTCTCTGCAGGTATGTGCCAATTCCAGTCAAGTCAATTATATTCATATAGCCCAATATCACAAATCACAAAATTGCCTCAGGTGGCTTTACAGTTTGTTCAAAAGAGTTGTGCTTTGCCTCGTAGTGCACTTTATTTGCCGCTTTTATCAATAGTTACGGTTTCTGGATATATGAGACATGCTGGTTTTAACTGCCCATGGGAAGAATTAACATATAAGAGTCTGTTCATTCTTGCTTATAAATTATGTTCTCTCTGAACATGTTTCTCTTTTTGGAGAACGTCATGTGACATAACTTCTCTGATCAGCGCAATATTCCTGCTCTTCTTTCTATTTCCTCGTCTCTCCCCCGGTGTCACGGTGTGTATACATCTCATCTCACTCGAATCAGGAAACATGTCAGAATACCCATATTTGATTGGCTGAGCTGCATCACGTGATGTGATTTACAACGCATTGGTCGGTGTGTTTCCTGAACAAGTGCCGTAACGGCTGAATAAGTTGCGCCGGTTAAAGTATAAACTGGCTCTGTAATATGTAGATTTCCAAATTACATATTTCGGTTTGAGATTTCGGTTTGAGATCCTGGGTCCGGATGCATCTGGGTCCGGATCCGGACCGCGGTCCGCCAGTTGGGGACCCCTACTGACCATGTCTGACATTGATTAGCTTTGTTAATACAAAAAAGACCAAAACACAGACAATAAAAACAGATAGATAAGTCATAGTGGAAATTAGCCATTACAGTAGTTAATGGCTCCTTCAAGTGGACAGAATTGGGTAATAGATTTTACATTCAAAGTGATTTTGAACATTAAAACCACATTATGTATATAAAATAAATATATTTAGTTTTTCAGAATAAGATGGAGGAGAAGCCATCCATCTCTCTCTGAATGAAGCTCAGATCCTCAATTTGGCCTCTCAAGGGCAATTCTTACTGTAGCTCAACAAATGTTAGAACAACCTAAATAGTTTTTTCCTGTATGTTTGTAATCGTTTTTTGTTTTTTGGTCATTTATTTTTTTCGGTTCTCTTTGTAGGTTTGTCTCTTTGTGGTTGTTTATTTGTCTCTCTGTGGTTGTTTTGTGTCTCTTTGTAGTCGTGTCTTAAAAGCAGCACTGAACCGGGGGTTCTCTTCAGGTTTAACGTTGAAAAAATCCATGTTTTGTCATAGTTAGAATTTGAAATATGAAATGATGTCTGAAAGATCTACTGAAACTGAAGCAGTTTAAGAGAAAAAATACGCTTTTCCTATTTGTAAGAGCAGTACATTGACCTGAACATGCTTTAGCTTGAGAGTGAAGTGTGAACAGTATCTTCAGTTTAATCACATCATAGGACTGAGAATCAAGGCACGACCAGTGAGGAACCTTTGGCACCAAAGTTTGATTTTCTTTAACTGCGGCGTCAAAACTTTGATGTGACTCTTATCTACTAATTGATTTGAGGTTAAATCAGTGCAATGACATTGCAGGCCATGACATGACATGCAAGTGATGCGCAAAGGTTGCTTGTCTTTCTTTGCAAAGCCAACAAAGTTGCAGAGCCGGAATAAAAAGGAGTGTGAAACAATCGGAATCACAGCTTCATCATGTTGGCCTCCGTGGTTCTACTCTTGTTGGCTGTTTTGCTTTGAGAACAGACTTGCTTACTATATTTATGGGCTGAATACACATCCTGATGGATTTTGTAAGATTTCATAACCTTAGTGGATAGAATTTTATTTTTTGCATCTTTATTTATGCTGTCTGTATAATTGGATTCCTCTAGTTTTTAGGGAGGGATTGGGAAAATGATGGATTTTGTTGAATATAATTCTTTTAATAGCCTTTGTTTCACACTAGAGGCAGAAAATGCTATGTTGACATTGTTCTGGCTGTCAGGCTTTATTGGTGAGCTGAGCTCTTCACCCAGAATGACCCAAAATATTAATTTAGAATGACTTATTCTGCCATCATATTCTCAATTATTTAACAGGGTTAGTGTTAGTGTTGGTTAAGAAATATATATCAAAGTGGATATCTCTTATATGTGCTTAAAATAATATGTGCTCATAATAATGAATTACAATGGCTGATGATTGCATTAAATAAAGGTCAGTCATCAGTTCCAGTAATTCTAATCTACTTGGTCACTGTGTCCCCAGCTGGCCAAGCGCTATGGTAACATCTACAGCCTTTTCTTCGGTCCCAGGCCTGCGGTCGTCATCAATGGGCTGCAGGCTTTGAAAGAAGCCCTGGTCAACAAAGCCGCTGACTTCTCCGGCAGACCACAAGACCTCATGGTTAATCATGCTGTGCAAGTGAAAGGTACAGAGCAAGTTCAAGCTTTTGTCTGCAGGGGGAGTTTTCAATTCCACTGTATACCATAAACTAATCTATTGTGAAAGAGAATATGGATAGACAGAGAATTAACTACCAACTAATGACTATTAAAAACATGTTGAGTTTAAAAATCATATTATGGCACCACCTGGTGGTAGCAGTAGAAGAAGTATCAGCAAGTATTATCAGCAGAATGTACTGTGTCAAATGTTGAAGTACTAGTTATGATGTGTTATGTATGACATTGTCAGATTGTTAATACTAATGGATGAAAACAATAGCAGCACTTTACTGTTTTAATTAATTTGTATACAGTTAGGTTGTTGAATCCAGTGGTTAGAAACATATAGGGCCCTTCAGCAACACACATTTATATTCAATTTTGCTTTTATCTGAAATATTGGATATTTGTTATTGTATGAGTCAGTTGTGTAGGTCATTTCAATTATACCATCTAAGAAGGTTGAAGAGGAAATCACTCTTAGGAACTGCTAAATGAGGGCCCCTCCAACAAGCTTGTTTGTCACAAGCAAAAAGCAAGTAAATGTAGTGTGTTCATCATATTTTTTTAGTATATAAAATCTTACTCAGAAAAGTAACCAATAACTGTATGAGTCAAATATGTGAACATGTAAACCATTAGTATAATGTGACACTTCGGGCAGCTCAAGCAGCTGTAAAGAATGATATAGACATTATAGCTTTTCACTGAAACATCACTCAGTGCATTTCAAATATGTAAGTGAAAGTGAATGCACTTTTTTCTTTCCTTTTTGCTTGTAGCTCATGCTCCTGGAGTGATTCTAGCAGATTATAACTCTGCCTGGAAAGAGCAACGACGCTTTGGTTTAATGACCCTGTGGAACTTTGGCCTGGGGAAGCAGCCGATGGAGCAGAGCATTCTGGGAGAGACACATCGCATCATAAAGCTGTTGGAGCAGAGTGTCGGTATGTCCATTTTGTACACAAACAGAGCACAGGGATTGTCTGTTGTATGGCGTAACATTGATATTGACCATCAGGATCTAGAAATCTTTTGAATTGCTGAAAACATGTTTTTTCCAGGTAAGACCATGAATCCCCAAATGATGTTCCACAATGCAGCTTCTCACATCATCTGTCAAGTTCTGTTTGCTCGGCAGTTTGACTATGAGGATGAGTTCATGAAGTTTTTTGTTGGACTTTTCCAAGAGACCTCTAAAATAATCAACGGGCGCTGGGGTATGGTGAGTCACGCTTTACACCATAAAACCACTCAATAACATAGCATCACTACTTGCTGCTCAGTAAAAACAGTGTGAGTTAGAGGATGAATTGTCCACTAATCGTCTCAGGATAACTTGGCGTTGCAATGCTCAGAAAACTTGAGGGCTTCTTATTAAAACCTTCTCAGTTTTCATCTTCCTCTCCTATAGATTTATGATTCTGTTCCCATGGTGCGAAACCTGCCACTGCCCTTCCAGAAGGCCTTTAAGATGTTCAAGGTATGTCTTGAAGCGTTCACTTCACAATCTGGCAAACAACCATTAAATCCTGTTTTATTACAGGGATGATTGCCTATGGGTTCAATTGATAGAGTTGATACTTTCTGTAATAAAGGCCAAGGGATAACAAAATGAACTGCCAAGCATGAAAAAAATCACTTTGCATTGCAGAAACAATCCCCCTGCTCAATGAAGTAAAAGAGAAGGAAAGATGAAATACAAGCAGCTCGTTGAGGCTGCTTTGAGCTGGAAAATAAAGCATTCAATTATGTTAAATAGTCTTGAAAAAAATAAAATAAATCTGTAACTTGATGAACCTGTTTGTTTTCTTTTTTTTATCAGGCTGCACATGAAAGACGTTTGGAGGTGTTGGCTGAGAACAAAAAGACCAGAGTTCCTGGTAAACTGCGCCATTTCATCGACAGCTACCTGGATGAACTGGATATGGTGTTTGTCATTCTTGTTAATGGAAAGAATTCTGTTCAGAGCAGCTGCAAACTGGCATGTTGTTGACCACTAATTTAACCAGCGGTTGTGGTGGCGACAGAGTGAACACTGATTTACTCGTGCTTTCTCTCTCTTGTCTGCATACATAGAGAGGCAATGATGGCTCCTCATTTTCTGAAGACCAGCTTTGTGCATATATTTTGGATCTTCACTTTGCTGGGACTGACACAACTGCTAACACCCTGCTCACTGCCTTCCTCTACCTTATGAATGATCCACAGATACAGGGTATGTCTGTCTGTCATCTGTGGGTCTCCACTTTATCTCTCAACAACTATTGAATGGATTGAGATAAAAAAAAATGTCAGACATTCATGGTTCCCTGACGATGTACCCTCATGACTTTGAAGACACCCTGACTTGTCCTCTAGGGCCACCAGGTAGAGGTAGACATTTGTGCTTGTGAGTGAGTTGCTTGTGATCTCAACAACTACTGAATGAGATGAGATTTTGTTCAGACATTCGTAGTCCCCAGAGGATGAAATGTAAATACTCTGGTGATCCCTCTTTGTCCATGCTGTCTCTCTGTATTCCTCAGAGCGCTGTCAGCAGGAAATAGACGATGTTCTGGGTGGGAAGGATGAAGCCAGTTATGAAGACAGACACCAGATGCCCTATGTTCAGGTACATTGTGGATTATTTCAGTGTATCTGAGATGTTACAAAGGTACAGTTTGATGAGAGCGGTCTCTGTCATGCAGGCCGTCATTCATGAGATCCAGAGAATGGCTGACACTGTTCCTCTCAGTGTTTTCCACTGCACCACTAAAGACACAGAGTTAATGGGATACTCCATACCCAGGGTAAGTGGAAAACATAATGTGTGTCATAAAAATATAGAAACGGCTTCATATCGTAGGGATAGCCCTCTGAGCACTTACAAGTAAGAGGAAACAGTTGAGAATCTTGATGCTAACGTTTCCTGTTGATGTTAAACCTTGAGCCTTGAACAACATCTATAATGTAGTTTTGTAGCCATTAAAAACACAACATCCTGGTTGAATATATCACTCAATTTAAGCATCATATACAGCTTCAATGAAGTGTTGGCACAGGCACATACTTAATGTGCATGATACTGTGAGTGTGTACCATTAAGGCTGAGTCCTTACTGCAGTGTTCTGGGTTCAGGGCCAGCAGGGCCCTTTGCTGCACATCATCCCCTCTCTCGCCCCTGCCTTTCTTGTCTGTCTCTCTGTCGGATAAAGCATGAATGCCAAAATAAAGAGCAAAATCAAGAGTTTAACATTTGATTTGTGTTATTATAAATATTCCGCATGGTTTGGTATGTGCCTGAGAGCCTCTGCCCCATATTTCTTCTCTGTCACAGTGCTTATTTTAACATTAAATGTAGCACAGACATACTAACACTATGAAATCTAATGATGTTGCAGTAGAAATATGGCACTTTCCAGTATTAAAAACAGTTTGACAAACGCATTGCAGTGAAGACTTAAAATTGGCAAAACCCCATGCAATATCATCAGTTGCTTGTGACCCAGTAAAATAAAAGAATGATGGAAACAGGGTCATAGAGTCATAGCTGTGTGTTTTAAAATGCTTTATCTGTTCTCCAGGGAACCATGATCATCCCCAACCTTTCCTCAGTGCTGAATGAGGAGGGGCAGTGGAAATCCCCCCGTGAATTCAACCCTGAATGAGCAGGGGGAGTTTGTGAAACCGGAGGCCTTCATGCCTTTCTCTGCAGGTGAGTGAAACGATTATTACATTCATATACAATGACAGACGGATTGACCGTTAAGTCATTATGTTTTAACCTGCAGGTTCTCGCATGTGTCTCGGAGAGGCTCTGGCTCGAATGGAGCTCTTCCTCATCGTGGTGACTCTGCTGAGGAGGTTCAGGTTCGTGTGGCCTGAGGATGCAGGAGAGCCAGACTACACGCTTGTTTTTGGGACAACCCAGACTCCCAAACCTTATTGTATGAATGTCCAAGTCAGAAAAACTGTCCCATGACAGAGGTTGCCTTAATAATTTAGATATTGATGTTGACTTGGAGTCAAGATTGAATTCAAAATCGATTCCTGATTCAATATCGATTCCTCATTCATCAGGCCTACACAGGGTGCTCGGGTCCACCGTGTGCTAATAAAGGCTGTGGGGCAAATTATGGCATGAAAGCAAAGTATAAGATTATGGAGTTTTCTGTTACTATATTATTATTATATTATTTTATATTATTATTTGAAAAAGTTATATCAACTGATTACAATAGTGTAATCAGTTGATAACAGTTGACAACTGTTACAGAAAGGCAAAATGTAACATTAATTCATGCTAAACCTGCATAAATAAACACACTTTACTAAGACGTTTTTAGTATTCCTCAATTCTCAGTAGCTTCAGGAATAACAAGTTCAAGTTATACAAAAAAAGGCAAATGCTGCCTGTTGTATTAATACAGGCTTTTATTTCTCAGAAATATGCCAATTTTAAAAAGGTATTGTACACAAAGTCACACTGTAAAACTGGTGTTGTGCATTATGTCCATGACATCGTGTTCTAACTGTTGGCGAGCAACGAGCGATGCTACACTGCGCAGCACGGTGTGACTTTGTCGATACGATGCCTCTATTTTTCACTACAAAAACCTAAGTAAGGTGGCAGCTGGCTGAGGGGAGTTTGCCTGAAAGTGTTCTGCTTGCTGTTGACTATACTGCATGTCATATATCCAGTAAATATCACAATATAAAATGTGTGTTTTCTGTATAAACAGTACCAACGTCAGAAGATGTCAAGTCAGACATCTTTCAATGTCTCATATCATCTCAGGTTGGTATGAGGCGAACAGCTGATAGATACATGGTTTCATTACATGACATAATTTAGGAAGAAAAAAACTTTTAAAATCGATATTTGGAAGTTGTGTATCATTTTAGAAACTTAGGCGATAAGAATTATGATTCTAAAGGAAAGATTGTACGAAATTCAACTTATATTGACAAACCCACAGAGGGTTTCACCAACTCTGCAGTTCCCTCGTCTCTATGGATCTTTATCTCTGTCTTTAAACCCTCATTTTTGTGAGGAGCATACAAGTTGTATTTAAAACCAGATGCAGCTTGTTTCCACTGCCCCCGAGTGGCCAAAAAGTATTCTTTAAACTACTACTGTGCCCTTTATTCAATGCAATAAAGCTGCTAGTTGGAGTCATCGTGTAGTTTACAGAATGTTAATTATGCAGTAATATAAATCATCAGATTAAACTATGAACTCTATAGTATTTTTCTGTTTAGCACTTATAAGTGATCAGACAGACTTTCAGCCAGATGTTGTGATTATCATAAAGTATTATACTCAGTGTTCCCTTTTTGCCAGTGTAAAATTTAAATCACAGAATGATGTACATTTATGTCAAATATATAAGTTGAGCAGCATAAAATCAACTTTGTCCCCTTTCTTAAGAAAGAAAGTGAATCTGCATGTGAATTTTGATGTAACTTGTGTACAAGTGAATATTTTGACCTGAGGGTGGCACTAGAGGAAAGGTCATGTCACCAAAATCACCAGGATTCAACTCCGGCACGGTGCTATTGTGAGGTACGTTGAGGTTTGAGGACTATTTCCATTTCACGGTATATATATTATATATATTCTTCTGCTACACTGCATGAATATATAATATTACAACTGACCGCTGCAGTTACTTTGCAGATTAGGATATAACATATTACATAACCTGTGAAGACCTTCTATGATGTGATGCTGATGATGAAATTAGAACGCTGCTTATATACTGCATAATACTTCTGTACTTTTACTAGAGTAAGATTTTGAATGCAGGAACCTTACCGTGTAAGTGATTATTTTCCTGGAAATACTGAGGTATTAATGCTTGTACTTGAATAAAGGATCTGAATACTTCTTCCACCACTGAATACATTGTTGGACAGTAACTGAGTCCCTCATCCTCCATCTCACCCCAAATTCAAATAAAATGAACCTACATTGAGAGACACTATAACATCTGAAGTGGGCTGTATTGCACAGTATGTCCACTTCATAACAACATCAAGACATTTGAGATGTCTGTGAGTTGACAGAAATGAAAATGGACCCTTTCTACCTGGCATACAGCTGCACTGAACCCTGTTCTATCCAGTTTAACCAGTAGCCTTCTGAGGGTTGGACAGTGGTGTATTATTGGAGCTTTTGTGCGGATGCTGTATTGTTTTACTGGGCGGTCTCTTGGTTGTCAGCGGGAGGCCTCGGGGTAATAGGGGGGGGGGGGGCCTTGAATGGTTTGTGTATGTGTGTGCTGACATGGACCTTCTGTGATGACATTCTGTTAGATGACTGGTGTGAAAGGGAGGACAGAGAGAGGAGAGCAGAAGAGAAAAAGAATGTAAGAGCAATAGGATTAAATGACAACATATTAAACAGAAATTGAAAATCAGAGACAAGGTAAGATTGTGTCAACAAGGACGAGTACAGAGACAGTGTGACCGAATGAGATGGAATCAAAGAGACTGAGACAAACCTGGGATTATCAGTAACGGATCATCAGAAGTGGAGTTTCTCAAACATGGACTAGTCTGGGAGTCTGCGCACACACACAAACACACACGCACACTTTCTACTCACACACACACATTTGGTTTCCCTGTTGTGAGCCGTCTTGGTAGTGGACAGGTGTCAGTATGCAGGAGTCTCCAGGTGCCGTGGGTGTAGATGGCAGCTACGCCAGCAACGTTCCAGCCTTCCTCACCAAGCTGTGGACTCTGGTGGAGGATCCGGATACCAACCACCTCATCTGCTGGAGCGCTGTGAGTCCGTCCTCAGGACATGCTGTACATCACACCGTAGTTACTCTGTGGGGAATGTCATTTAAATTCACTAAACATGTCCTTGTTCTTTGGTGAACACACTGTAGTGCGAGTGTTCATCATCATCATCTGCCTGCTGTTCTCTGATAAGCAACATCAGCAAGTGTTGCTGTATTGTCACAAATTGTGACTCATCACCTAAATGCTTTGATGAAAATACACACGTTATTCACAGGCCTAATAACAGATTACATAGGTTCTAGTAACAACGAGCAAACAACAAACTGTGCTGATAATGAACTTGAACAAAAAAAATATATAAAATAAATACATATTGTGCTGGCAACAGGACAGTTTCTTAACTGCATTTACTGGTACGATTTAGCTACGATACCTTTTTTTAGCCTGGCTATCAAAAGTGCTACTTCCACACCTGTTTAGCTTTGTAACAGCTTGCTTGTTGAGCGTGTCCGCTCGCTGGAATAGCCCCAGAAAAAAAGAAAATCTCTATCAGAAGGTTTAATTTGTATATTATAATATTCCTATATGAATACAGTAATACAACATAATGTAAATCAATGTCACAAAAGTCAGTTGAAAAAGCTGATGATTAGCTGGCCTCTGCTTTAGGGGCAGTCCCGCTGGTTAGTTGTGATCTTATGCTGCCTTCCAGACAATTTTATGTTAGAATTTTCCCAGATGTAAATTCCAACTTCCAACCTCCAAGTGTTCCAGGTGCACAACGCCGAACATAAACGAAAACCAGGCCTGACCGTGACAAAGTTATGTTTCTTTAGTAAGTGTTCACACAGTTGAACTCTCAACAGTGGAGCCTCCACTGCATTTTTAACATTTGTGCAGAGAAGATAACTTTCTGGTGTTGTTTACTGTAACTAACTACCAATTAACTTAGCGACATATTTTAACATCAATTAGCACACAGACCAGGTTTTGCTATATATTAGTAGTATGTATTATTTTCATTAAATAAATGCAATGAGTGCCGTTTCATTGTCAGAAATGTTCAAGTTCTGAGTTGTCCTCAAAAGCAGCAATAGTGGAGGGAGGAAGCCCACAACAGCGGTGGAAGAAGAACTTAGATCCTTAACTTAAGTAAGAGTACCAACGCTGTCAAAGACCTTTAGTAAACGTGCAGAAGTATTATCGGCTGAATGTACATGTAAAATCTGAGTTATACGTCATTATACATGTCATTGTTACGGATGCATTCATGTGTACTGTTACGGTGGAGCTAGTTTAATTACTTTATGTTAACTAGGTTAGTCCAGTGGTTGCCAAAAGAAAAATCTGGGGTTGTAAACAATTATTTTAAATAAAACCATTTAGGACGTTTTGAGAGGACATCACTGTTTGATGGAACTAGTGACACCTCTGAGACACCCGCAAGTCTACAAGTGGCTCTTTTTCTTGTTGGTCCCAAAAAGAGTGGTCTTATGTAAAAACCCATTACTTTCTTAAATCCTGTGGTTATCTGAACTGGTTTTGTCTAAGAAACAAACAAAAAAAAAAAAAAACTGTATCAAGCCAGTCCGAAGCGTAATGTGTAAGATATACTGTATATATAAGAATATAGCACATATTCAAAGTACCAAATGATTATATTATTGGTTGATAAACCATCTGTTAGTGGCATTTATTCTACACTAATAAGCCATCATAATGCATGCATACATAAAACCCGTCAGTTCAATTTGACAGCATTGTCCAGATGAAAACAGAGACCATGTGTGGGTTTCAGGGGGGTTTCCTCTGTTTGTCCTACAGGGAATGAGCTGTGCAGGATTGATGTGTGTGCTTCACTGATAAACAAGAAGAGGCACCTTCTCAGTTCCTCCTCGTAGGGAGATAAACACTCAGATGCTCTTCAGTCCCATGACATCTGTAGTTAGAGTGTGCACCATCAGCTGTTATATTGTCGGTCTATCAGTAGTCAAGAGAGCGTTACTGCATACGTGGTAACAGCAACATATTATTAGAAATGTCTAAACCTCATGAATTTCACACCTGTTGTGCAAATGAGTTTTGCTTACCCGCCATGTAAAGTATTTACAACACTTTACACAATACTGCTTTTCAGAGTAAGACAATGCTGCAGTTGCTTAGAAAGATTACAACGTTGGGAGAGAGAGCATGATTCATCACACACAGTGAGAGCGAGAGAGTCTGTTTGATTGGCTGACTGAGCTGAATTTGGCTACTGATGAATAGATTGCGCGCTCTGGGGAAAATGTATTACCTCCTTACAAAGTTCCTTTCAGTACTAAGGTAGCATTAATCCATGTACGGTCTCAATGACAAACTCAAGTTACATGGCAGCAGTTTTGAGGGGATTAAAAATGTTGTCATTTTCTAATCCAAATAGCGTGAGTGAAAAAAAAACAAAGAACTGACGAATCCATGCAGAATAATAAAGAGCAAAAAAGTGTTCTAAATCCATTTTTTTCTGCCTTGGGTTCGAAAGTTCAACATTTCCTTGTATATCTAGATGCACATTAGTATGGAGGTCAGGACTCTTATCCTGTTTTGGTATTATGAGTCTGATTTTCTGAACCAGTATTTATTATAACACAATGCATCATTTACTGACATCTACATGACTGGCATCTAAAGCTTTTATTTCAGTCCCACTAAGCAATAATAATGAGTAACCAGACAAGTGAAGTTACTTTGTTAATTGTATTGTAAAATCTAACATCAGAATGGACATAATCGAAAAATACTTTGATTGCATCCATCATTGACAGGCTGCGGGGCTCTGTCTTGTCTGTCATGTCTGTCTTGTCTATAGATTGAACTTTCCTGACTTTTCTCTATTTCAGTCTGGGACCAGTTTCCATGTGTTTGACCAGGGACGCTTTGCCAAGGAAGTCCTGCCAAAGTACTTTAAACACAATAATATGGCGAGCTTTGTTCGACAGCTCAACATGTGTGAGTAGCCTACACTTCTCTCCTTGTCTTCTCTGCTCTCAATTACAGTATGCACTGATACTTTGTGTGTGTGTGTGTGTGTGTCCTCTAATATGTGTGTGTCTAGATGGTTTCCGTAAGGTGGTGAACATTGAGCAAAGCGGCCTGGTGAAGCCTGAGAGAGACGACACAGAGTTCCAACATCTGTACTTCCTCCAGGGACATGAACACATGCTGGAACACATCAAGAGGAAGGTATGGACAAACACACACACACAAACACACAAATGCACACAAGCACTGCACACAAGCACAATGTCTCAAAGACAAACTCACCAGAAAGTGTCAAAATAATGTAACAGGCTTTATATTTATAGAGTCTAAATGTTAGTTTGGAATTGTGCAGCTGTGCACATTTACATTGATGTTTTGTTCTTGGCAAAGGTGTGTAAAAAGTGAAATACTGTTCACGCATCACATTATGCGTTGGTTTACGAGTGAGGCGCCACTACAGTAATGGTGGCTTGCCTAAGCTGATGCCTACGACCTGAATTTGCCAATAAGATTCTGCAGTGCCTTGAGCTAAATGCTATGCCAGCATGCTAACATGCTCACAATGACAATGATAACATGCAGATGTTTAGCAGTTTAGCTGATGTTTACAGTTCACCATATTAGTTTCGCTTGCCAACATTAGTTTGTTAGCAATGAACACAAATTACACCGGACATTGAAGGGAAACATTATTTTTCTGTTTTCCAAAAAGTTGATCTAATGATGGTGCTCGATGAAAAGTGAAGGAATCACCAAGGTTATTACAATTTGTCCTAAGGGGAACATCAATGTACCACATTTCCTGACAGTCCTTCCAAAAGCATTCATGAGCATTTTACTCAAAAACACAAATTTTAACCTCATGGTGGCGCTAGAGGAGAAGTCAGGGGATAGCCAAAGTCATCAGGGTTCCTCCTCTGGGGACCATGACGGTCTGAACAAAATGTTGGCAACCCACGCAATAGTTCTTGACTAGTGGATAGACCGACTAGAGCCACGCTGCTAGTGTGGCTAAAACCTCCACTGAGTTCCTCTGCTCACAGACATCACAGGGAATGTGTGGTTGCATGAGCTATATCTGAGTAAGTTAACAAATCAGGCTGTGCTGTGTGTTCAGG